TATTGGCCTGCATAGAGCCAACGTGCTGTCCCAGCTGCTAGAGGGTGGAGCTCAGTCGCAGGAGCACACAGCGGCCGTGTGGGGAGGGGCAGTGACCCCTCGCGGTTCATACCTGGACTGTACAGTCATGGCGCTCCCTTTGCCAGTTTGGCGACGGCACAAAAGTAAATACTCGTTCTGGGCGACAAGCGGGGGGATGTGTTGTCGGAGGAAACGATGTTATCTCTGCCAAGTCTGTGATGTATTTTTCTTCCAGTTTTATGATGAATTGCCGTGTCAGAGGAATATTTATTATTCGGGTCTAATACATTACAGAATGGAATATTCCTCTGCAAGACGAGGCCCGACTTGAGAGAGTGGCAGCCATGGGGGAAGGTGCAATCTACAATCAGAGGTGCCCCCAGCAGGGACCCCCTCATGCACCACCAGCACAGGTCCTCCATCTTACCTCCTTCAGTCCCAGGGGTGAGGTGGGGGGGGGGGGTGGGGATGGGGGGGGATTATTTGGCGGATTTTTTTTGTTTTTTATTGGAAAGCTACACAATGTAAAAAAAACTAGAACCCCTTGAGAAACAACAGTACGGCTGGTGAGATGTTATCACGGTCCCTCAGCCCGGCCCCATGTACCCCGGGATGCCCACGTGGAGGAAAAATATATTTTAAAAATATTCTTCCCCAAATATAATGGTATATCTAAATATATTTTTTTTTTTCCATGTGAGTGAAACTTGTGACTATATATATATATATACACACACACACAGTCACAAGTTCCACTCACATGGAAAAAATATGGAAAAAAAAAAAAATTAAATATATATATATACACACTGTATGTTGAAATGCAATTTTTTTAATATATCAATTAACATACATGAAAAATATTTTTTAAAATATTTTTTAAAATATATATTTTTAAAATATATATTCTTCAGATTTTTTTTTAACATATAAAAAAGTCATTTTCTAAATATGTTAAAAAAAAAATCTGAAGAATATATTTTTAAAAAATAATTTTCATATCAACTTTGTAAAATATAAAAAACACAATTTTCAACATACATATTTATATCAACACACATATAAAAATATAATATTTATAATAAAAAAAAAATAAAAAAAAAAATATATAAACTTAAAAAACAAACTATATATATATTAATTATAAAAATGGCCGAAATTTAAAATAAAATTAAAATATTAAAAAAAAAAAAAATTATAAAAAAAAAAAATAAAAACGAATATAATTAAAATAAAATTAAATAAATGTTTTTATAAAAATAAAATAAAATTAAAAATAAAAATGTATTTACAAAAAAAAAAAAGGGAAAAAATAAGCAAATTCGACAAAAAATCATAAAATAAAACAACCAAAAATGGGCTAATTAGAAAAATATACCCTTTAAAATAAAAATAATAAATAAATTAAAAAATATGTGATGCTCCTTTCTTTTAATCACCTGGGGCAATAAAACAAATTTTAAGGGCAATATTAAAAATTACACCTGAAATAAAAAATATTAAAAAAGGAAAAGAATAAAAACTTAACCTTTGCATTAAATTAATGTCTAAAAAAAAAAAGCATGGAAAAATAAAAATTTAAAGAATAAAATTGAGGACCTAAAAAAAAAAATTGTATAAAAAATATCAACAATAAATTACAAGTCCATCTCCAAAACTAATTTTGCCTTTTAATTAATTTTTTTAATTAAATAAAGTTTAAACCCATGGGCAATAATAGAAAATTTTATAATATGGACGGAAATTTAAAATATGATGAAAAATTGCAACGCAAATAAATGGTGGATAAAAATATTATAAATTAAACATGTTCCAAAGACATTTAAAAGCTGTCCTGCAAAAATCAAGGGAAAATCAGTGATTCAAATATATAAAATATTATATATAAAAAAATATTTAATTGTTAAAAAATGAAACGCTATGGGCAATAAGACCCAGGAGGAAATATTATAATATAGAGATATATAAAAATTTTTAAATTTTTTTTGCCAAAATGTAATTGATATATTAGCAAAAGCTTTTAATGGGAAAAATTTTTTGGACAGATATTTTTTAAAATATAGAGCTTTTCGGTAAATAAAAAATTTATTCTAATGTTTTAATAAAATTTTAAATTGAAATTTACAAAGAACAAAACAATAATAATATACGGTAAAATATGGTGGAATTCAATTTTTTTTAATTTAATTTGCTTTTAAATAATTAATATTTACTGTGTAAATAATAAAAAAATGAAATCTGAGGATTACCAATAAAAATTTTTTTCGCACTTAATAAAATGTCAGAAAGCTGGGTTTATAAAGATTTTCTTAATGATTAAAAATATTTTATGAAAATAATTCAAAAAAAACTATTTTTTTAATATATTAAATATGGCAAATAATAGCGCTTTTAATTTAATAAATTTTTTATAATAATAATTAAAGATTTATTAATAAACTTTTTTGAAATACCTGTATTATATATATTATTTTAAAAGAAAAATAAAAATTATGGAAAATAATTTATCCTTCCAATAAGAATAAATTATGGAGCTTTTTAAAGGAAAGTGGTCCAAAATTCCGGGTGATATTGTCAGATAGCTTAATTTTTTGGTTATAGGAGAAGCGGACTTATTAGTTATTTTTTAAAATAAAATGTAACCAAATATTAATTAAGGGTGCCAAAAATTTTTATGTCCAGCCATTTTTTTTTTTTTTTTTTGTGAATTATGTCATATTTTTTTTTTTGCCTCTATTTTATTTATTTGTTCCAATACATACAAATTTTATTTTTATATTTTATTAAAGCAAAAAATGTTTTAATTATAATAATTTTTGTTTGAAATATTTATTTTCAGGAAAAATATCAAGGGTTTTAACAAAAATATAAAATTTATTGTATATAGTCACACAAGTTCCAATTTAAAATGAAAGAAAAATATATTTTAAATATATATTTTAAAAATATTCTATAAAATATATTGATAATTTATTTGAAATTTTTAAATTTTCGCCATTTATATTCAATATAACTAAAAAAAATAAATAAATAAAAAATTAATTAATAAAATATTTAATATATATATATAAATAATATTTTTAATTAATATATTTTAAAATTAACTAATTTATATGAAAACGTTTTTTATTATATTACAAATTATATTAATAAAAAATTTTTTAAATATAATTCTATTATAATTTTTTTTTAAAATTATTTAAAATTTTTCATTTAAAAAAAAAAACTTTAAGAATATATTAAATTTAATATAAATTATTGTAATATTAAAAAAAACGCATATTCAACATTACAGTATTAAATACAATTTTATTGGCTGTATTCAATATATTTTCAAAATACATTTTATATATATATTTGAAATTTTTTTTATAAAATTTTTTTTTATATAACAAAATATATAAAAATTTATTTTTTCACGTCACGGCAGTCACATGACCCTAAACCCGCCCTGCCTTCCGGCATCTGAAACCTTTAAAAGGACTCGGAGGCGCCGGCGCCAAGGGCTTAAATATATTCTTCAATTTTTTTTTTTAACATATGTTAAAATTACTCTCTATATATGTTTAAAAAAAATCTGAAGTATATTATTTTTTGTAATTTTGTAATATAAAAAAAAAACACATTTCCAACATACAGTAATACAATTTTGGTTTTGAATCAATATAGTTCAAAATATTATTTATTTATATATAATATATTATACACACTGTATGTTAAATGCGTTTTTATTATATATTAGAAAACATATGAAAAATATTTTTAAAATATAGATTTTTTTTAAATATATCCTTCAGTTTTTTTTTAATATATAAAAAAAGTGATTAAAAAAAAAAAAAATCTGAAGAATATATTAAATTAAAATATATTTTAAAAAAATATTTTTAATATATTTTATGTATGTTGAAATGCGTGCTTTTATATATAACAAAATATATAAAAAATATTTTTTCAATATATATATTTTTTTAACCTCTTGGCGTCGGCCGAATGCAAATGTGCGGCGTCCCGGGGTCTGAGCCTAGACGCTGAGCGGCCGCACATTTGAGCTCTATTGAAAAAAATCGTGCTGAGTGTGCGCTCCCAGCACACATGTCCGGTACTCACGGAAAGGTCCCGATCTCCTCTTTCGATCGGGACCTTTCCTGATCATGTGACTGCTGTGACGGCGTGTCACGGCGGTCACATGACCCTAAACCCCGCCCCGCCTCCTGGCTTCTGAAACCCTTAAAGGGCCGGGAGGCTCCGGCGCCAAGGGCTTAAATATATTCTTCAGAGTTTTTTTTAACACGTTAAAATGACGTTATGGTGTTATTCACCACACTGGACACTGTATTTTGTATTTAATGGTTAGCGAACGCATTTTTAGTGGCATGCGTTTTTTCGGTGTATTTTTTATGCACGCTGTGTGTGTTTTTTTTTTGTATGCACATTATGTGATCATTTGTATTCATCATCACGCCGGCATCGTTTAGGTGCGTTTTGTAGAATTTGTGTTTTACGTTGTTTGTTTTCTATGTATTTTATGCCACAAGTGCGCCCTTGATGTGCGGTCCTATTTTGGACTCTTTGTCATATAGTTTTTTTTTTTCTTTTCACTTCCATCATCTTCAGATCCAATTTAGGATCATTTTGGGCACAATTGATGCATTGGTCCCATTTGGACTTTTCTTGGCACATTTATTACTCATTTGCAGGGGCGGACTGACCATTTGGAAACTCGGGCACTGCCCGAGGGCCCGGGGTCAGTAGGGGGCCCCATGAGATTCCCCTGGTACCTTTTTCATAGGATTTTTTGAGTTTGGGCAAGGACACAGGGGCCCCATGATCCTCTATTGCCCGGGGGCCCCATGAGTTGTCAGTCCGCCCGATTGTGGATTTCTAATTTTTTCATTACTGTTACTAGCGCGACATCATTTTTTGTATTATTCACATATAGATCATTAGGTATATGATTGGATGCCGGCAGCTGTACCTCATTTATTAATATTGTAGGGACTTATGCAGGCCATAGACGGGTCGAAGATCGGCCAAAAAAAAAAAAAAAATCGGCTGATTTTCGCACCTTTAGTGGGTTAATTGGTCAGCCATATTTCTGGATTTTGGCACATTTTTTTTAGCGGTGAAGTTGGAAAAAAAATCAACCGATTTTGCCGATTGCCCGATTTTCCCGGCAATGATGGGCAAGTCGGCCGATCTTTTTACCGATAAAAAATCTGCGCATGAGCCGTGACCTGCAAGAAGAAGAAAAACAGGAAGAAGAAGAAAAAGAAGAAGACGCAAAAGAAGAAGAAAAAGAAAAAGACTTTCAGTCCGCTATTATATTTGACATGAAAAAGTCTTGCGGTTGCAACAATGTATCCATTTGTATCCAAATAAAAACATCTGTATCCGGAATGAATACAAATGGATACATTGTTGCAACCGCAAGACTTTTTCATGTCAAATATAATAGCGGAGCTCTCTGCAGGGACAGAAGTAATTAAATGCCGGCTGCAGACGGGACGAAAATTGGCCGATTTCCGATTTTTTTTTTTTTTAACGTTGGTGGTAACGTCGGCCGATTGAACAAACTATTTTTTTTTTTTTTTAACGGCCGGTTTTTGACCCGTCTATGGCCTGCATAAGATAGGAGCGCAGGAGGTGACTTCATGCATATTTATATCTACATATACTAAATATATATTGCATGTGGTTAAAGGCGCTAGTGAGTCAAGGGCTGCTGACAGCGCGTTGTTGTAGGCAGTCATAGCCAAGTCGGGGCAGGACAGGGGGAGGATGCGGTCATGGAGTTGATCAGCTGCAGAGTGGAGGGGGGCAGGGTTAGGGTTGCGGAGGTTCCGGCTGGTAGTAGTGTGACATTTTTGGAGGGGTAGGCGTTGGAGGACGAGGAGATAGAGAAGGTGATCAGGTTGTGGCCAGAGAGAGGGAAGGGGGTGTTAGTGAGGTTGTGGGGAGCGCAGCGGTTGGAGAAGACGAGATCAAGGATATTACCGTCGGAGTGGGTGGTGGATTGTATGCACTGTGCAAGTGCAAAGGAGGAGGTTAGGTGGAGGAGATGGGATGTGGCCGGGTTGTCGAGGTTGACAGGGATGTTGAAATCCCCAAGAATGATGGTGGGTAGCTCAGAGGAGAGGAAGAAGGGAAGCCAGGAGGAGAAGTCATCCAGGAAGCGGGGTATGGATCCAGGAGGCCGGTATATCACAGCAATCTTCAGGGGGGTTGGGGAGAATAGTCGGACGCAGTGGTCCTCAAAGGAGGAGAGGATAGAGGGGGATTGGCAGAGAGGGGTGGAGGACACTGAGTGGAGGCCAGTGGAGGGATTGGCAGAGAGGGGTGGAGGACACTGAGTGGAGGCCAGTGGAGGGATTGGCAGAGAGGGGTGGAGGACACTGAATGGAGGTCAATGTCCTATCTGGTGTCCCTGGGAATAATTACCGGTCTCCTCATGGTCTCCAGGGAGTGGGATGTCCACGTTCTGGTAGAAGGTGGTGATTCTGGTCCCGTCTGCATGTTCCACAACCGTGGACCCATCTGTGCTCACCGCTGTCACCACCCACCCCATCTTCTCGAGTCGTCACCACCTGCAACATGGGCAGCACATGTAGGAAGCTGCTCCTTCACACATGAACTTTACATATATGTGCTGTATATTTCAGATGAGGGTAAAATCCTGCAAACCTTCTGTATATACAATTTTCATCATCCCATCCACACCAGCTGGAAATATGAGGGAGGAGCTGGAGAGCAAGGGTGAGTGAAATCTTCAGATTTCCCTCAACTCCTGCATGGTTATCCAAGCCTCTGATGGATCCATACCATCAGAACCTACCAAACGTGTCACCATTGTAGTACTACCCTTGAAGAGGCCACCGTGCCTCATCAGATCAGCTCCCTCTTGGGTCTCACTAGGGCTCCAGCCAATTTACCACCAACCTACTGGGCACACCTCCCCAGGGATTGGCCAGAGCATGACAACTAATCAGCCTAGGCATTAGAATTTCCCACCCTAAGCTCTCAAAGGGTCTTCACAGAGGCAGGGGGAACAATTAAATCCCCAGGCTGAGGAGCCATGAACGGGCCCGGGCTACCAATCTCCGCTCCTCTGATTACGGGGCAAGCCAACAGCTAAGTTTGCCTAGCGTCCTATCGGAGGCCATTTTTGGACTCTTTCTGCATTGTGAAAAAAATTTACAGCATACATTCGGGGTGAGGGAGGTGACTTACTGTCCCGTTCACAGGGTCTGTAGCTTTGAAAGTCTGCAGAGGTCTCAGGTCCAGCCTCTTGGAGCCCCGGGTTCCTATTTGATCCCCGGATGGGATGGTGGTGATCCAGGTGCCGGGCTGTACAGCTGCAACTGGGGGGAGTGGCTGGCAGTGGCTCAGGGGGAGGAGCCTCCACTGGCTCTGGCTTAGTTGTTGGTGGCACCAACTTTGGCCCACCTTTCCCTGTGAACAACAAGAGTGAGAAAACTTAAAGGATCCATCCACCTGAAAATAAATGTCAGTTATTACTGAAGACAGGTAGGCTGAGGAAACAACTGGTTTAGAATATTTCTGAAGGATTCCAGCAGTAAGACCTCTCCATCATAGCCCGTCCCATAGCCCGTCATAGCCCGTCCCATAGCCCGCCCGTCATAGCCCGTCATAGCCCGTCATAGCCCGTCATAGTCCGTCCGCCATAGCCCGTCATAATCCGCCATAGTCCACCATAGCCCGTCATAGTCCCGGATTAATTGGTTTTCAATGCATTTACAAATTTTTTTTTTAATCATGTCCCTGTACAGTATTTATGCCTTTAACCCTCCATAGCGGTCTGATTATGTCCGTATTTCTGTGCTCAAAGCGGTACATTTTTTTGTATTTTTTTTATTGTCGGCCTGTAATTTTTAGGTCAGTCAGGTCCATAAATATTGGGACATGGACACAATTGTAACATTTTTGGCTCTATACACCACCACAATGGATTTGAAATGAAATGAACAAGATGTGCTTTAACTGCAGACTGTCAGCTTTAATTTGAGGGTATTTACATCCAAATCAGGTGAACGGTGTAGGAATTACAACAGTTTGCATATGTGCCTCCCACTTGTTAAGGGACCAAAAGTAATGGGACAGAATAATAGTCATAAATCAAACTTTCACTTTTTAATACTTGGTTTCATATCCTTTGCAGTCAATGACAGCCTGAAGTGTGGACAGCATAGACATCACCAGACGCTGGGTGTCATCCCTGGTGATGCTCTGCCAGGCCTCTACTGCAACTGTCTTCAGTTCCTGCTTGTTCTTGGGGCATTTTCCCTTCAGTTTTGTCTTCAGCAAGTGAAATGCTCCATCGGATTCAGGTCAGGTGATTGGCCATTGCAGAACATTCCACTTCTTTGGTGTCTTTTGCAGTCTGCTTTGGGTCATTGTCCATCTGCACTGTGAAGCGTCCAATGAGTTGTGAAGCATTTGGCTGAATATGAGCCGATAATATTCCCGAAACACTTCACAATTCATCCGGCTGCTTCTGTCAGCCGTTACATCATCAATAAATACAAGAGAAGCAGTTCCATTGGCAGCCATACATGCCCACGCCATGACACTACCACCACCATGATCACTGATGAGGTGGTATGCTGAGGACCATGAGCAGTTCCTTCTCCATCCTCTTCTCTTCCCATCACTCTGGTACAAGTTGATGTCGGTCTCATCTGTCCATAGGATGTTGTTCCAGAACTGTGAAGGCTTTTTTACATGTCGTTTGGCAAACTCTAATCTGGCCTTCCTGTGTTTGAGGCTCACCAATGGTTTCCATCTTGTGGTGAACCCTCTGTATTCACTCTGGTGAAGTCTTCTCTTGATTGGTGACTTTGACACACATACACCTACCTCCTGGAGGGTGTTCTTGATCCGGCCAACTGTTGTGAAGGGTGTTTTCTTCACCAGGGAAAGAATTCTTCGGTCATCCACCTCAGTTGTTTTCCGTGGTCTTCCGGGTCTTTTGATGTTGCTGAGCTCACCGGTGCGTTCCTTCTTTTTAAGAATGTTCCAAGCAGTTGTTTTGGCCACGCCTAATGTTTTTGCTATCTCTCTGATGGGTTTGTTTTGTTTTTCCAGCCTAATGATGGCTTCACTGATAGTGACAGCTCTTTGGATCTCATCTTGAGAGTTGACAGCAACAGATTCCAAATGCAAATAGCACACTTGAAATGAACTCTGGACCTTTTATCTGCTCATTGTAATTGGGATAATGAGGGAATAACACACACCCTGGCCATGGAACAGCTGGGAAGCCAATTGTCCCATTACTTTTGGTCCCTTAACAGGTGGGAGGCACATATGCAAACTGTTGTAATTCCTACACCGTTCACCTCATTTGGATGTAAATACCCTCAAATTAAAGCTGACAGTCTGCAGTTAAAGCACATCTTGTTCGTTTCATTTCAGATCCATTGTGGTGTATAGAGCCAAACATGTTAGAATTGTGTCCATGTCCCAATATTTATGGACCTGACTGTAACTCGCTGAAATCTGTCTGAACAAGAGTCTAGTGAACATCCCGGGGAGGATAAAACTTGAAACACGAAATCATAAATTACTATATAATAAATATACATAAAAATAATAATAAATGTAATTCAATAATATAATCAAACCAAAAACACTGAAATGTGAAATATAGCGCCAAGTTCTCACATCGCTGAGCTCAGTCGCAGAATCGTTTTCAGTGTCTGATGAGGAATTTCCCCCACCAATCATTATCACTCAATTCTGCAAGTGTTTCTGATTTACTATCGCTGTTCTCTAGCCGGTCTAAAACCGCGTCTGACCTAAAGGGACGCTTTTTGGACGCCATGGACGTTTCTCAGTTTCCAGGCAGAAAGAACAGTAATAATGCAGGCAGGGCGCCGGACAAAGCACTCGGGACACAATGTATGTGAAATGGTTTGATACAGGAATGTTATACTATGTGATTTTAGTGAATGTCACTTTTTAAAATTTTTAAATTTCCCGCCAGTTCCGTCCCCCGTACGTCCCGACGTCGCAGGGAACGGAACCCGAAAGACAGATGCCGGCATCGGCCGGAGGAGATGGCCGGGGACACTGCAGGGGGGACATCGCGGGAGCGCAGGACAAGGTAAGTGCAGGAGGGAATCCCTGAGCAACACTGCAGTGTATTCCCAAGTGTAGCTCGGGGTTACCGCTTTTGGCACTGATAATTAAGCCCGAGCGAAACTTGGGAATACCTCCAGGGGGGTTAATCTGCACTATAAAGAGTTTTCAATAGATAAAATACCTTTTTTTTTACTTTTTTTCTGACCTCCGGAACGGATTAATTGGTTTTTCAATGCATTCATGATTTTTTTTTTTTTTTATCATGTCCCTGTACAGTATTTATGCCTTTAACCGTTTCAATACCGGGCACTCTCCCCCCTTCCTGCCCCCAGGCCATTTTTCAGGTTTCAGCGCTCACACACACTTTGAATGACAATTGCGCGGTCATACAACATTGTACCCAAACTAAAATTTTATCATTTTCTTCACACAACTAGAGCTTTCTTTTGGTGGTATTTAATCACCGCCGGGGTTTTTATTTTTTGCTAAATTAACAAAAAAAGACCAAAAATTTTGAAAAAAAACCCACATTTTTCTTTGTTACTGTTATAAAAGTTTACAAATAAATAATTGTTCTTCATAAATTTAGGCCGAGATGTATTCTGCTACATGTCTTTGGTGAAAATAACCCAAATTAGGATGTATTATTTAGTTTGTAGGAAAGTTATAGAGTTCACAAAACTATGGTATAGATCTGAATATTGATCAATCCTGAAGTACTGACGGCCAATCTAATTTCTTGAGGTCCAAGAATGTCAGAACAGTACAGATATCCCCCCAAATGTCAGGACGGTACAGATATCCCCCAAATGTCAGGACGGTACAGATATCCCCCGAATGTCAGGTCAGTACAGATATCCCCCGAATGTCAGGACGGTACAGATATCCCCCAAATGTCAGCTCAGTACAGATATTCCCCTAATGTCAGGTCAGTACAGATATTCCCCTAATGTCAGGACAGTACAGATATCCCCAAATGTCAGGACGGTACAGATATCCCCCAAATGTCAGGACGGTACAGATATCCCCCAAATGTCAGCTCAGTACAGATATCCCCAAATGTCAGGACGGTACAGATATCCCCCCAAATGTCAGCTCAGTACAGATATCCCCAAATGTCAGGACGGTACAGATATCCCCCAAATGTCAGCTCAGTACAGATATCCCCAAATGTCAGGACGGTACAGATATCCCCCAAATGTCAGGACAGGACAGATATCCCCCAAATGTCAGGACAGTACAGATATCCCCCAAATGTCAGGACAGTACAGATATCCCCCAAATGTCAGAACAGTACAGATATCCCCCAAATGTCAGGACAGTACAGATATCCCCCAAATGACCCCTTTTTGCAGAGTAGACAGTCCGACGTACTTCATAAGAGGCATGACGAGTTTTTTGAAGTTGTATTTTTTTGTCATAATTTTTCCGAAAATGAAAAAATGAAAAAAATTATTTTCACTATTTTTTTTTTTACATCCTGTCACCAGTGCAGTACAGCGTCATCATATAACTGGCATGGCGGTGAACAGCGACACTGACTGGTGACAGTATGAAAAAAAAAAATATATATATATTTTTTTTTTTTTTATTATATTTAATTTTTTATTACATTTTTTTTAATTTTTTTTTAAGATTTTTTTTCATATTTTACTATGACCAAAATAGTACAATGTTACCATAGTAACATTGTACTACTTTGGGGAAGTGATCAGTATTTTTTTTTTTTTTTTTTTACACAATTTGCTTATAGCAAAGAATTACTTTGCTATAAGCAAGCATTTACCTGAATGAAATCGATTCATTCAGCTTTTTTTTTTTTTGTGCTTAGCTGTGATTTGGTCACAGCTAATCACATGACATGTGCATGTGATTAGCTGTGACCATTCACAGCTAGGCACTAGTATACAATGGATGGCATCATGAATGAAGCCATCCATTGTATACAACTGTCATGTGACCTGCTGTGATTGGTACTCGGATCTGTCATCGGCCGTGTCCGAGGTGCACGGCCGACGACAGATCGCACTGCTGCGCCGCTCTGCACTAGCGCAAACGGCGCATGTGCGGGAGCACGCCAAATGGTGTGCACCCGGAATGGAGGAGCACATCTGAAGCCGCCAAACGGCCATTGCCCGGGCGGCTAATGGTTAAAGTGCACTTTATTAAAAGTTTTGAACAGAAAAAATACTTTTTTTTTTTTTTTTTTTTACTATTGTCTGACCTACGGGATGGATTAATTGGTTTTCAATGCATTTATGAATTTTTTTTAATCATGTCACTGTACAGTATTTATGCTTTCAAGTGCACTTTATTTTTTTTACTTTTTTCTGACCTCCAGAACGGATTAATTGATTTTCAATGCATTTACGATTTTTTTTTTTTAAGCATGTCCCTGTACAGTATTTCTGCCTTTAAAGTGCACTTTATTAAAAGTTTTGAACAGAAAAAATACTTTTTTTTTTTTTTACTATTTTCTGACCTATGAGACGGATTAATTGGTTTCCAATGCATTTACAAATTTTTTTAATCATGTCCCTGTACAGTATTTATGTTTTCAAGTGCACTATATAAAAAGTTTTGAATAGATAATATACCTTTTTTTACTTTTTTCTGACCTCCGGAACAGATTAATTGCTTTTCAATGCATTTCTGAAATTTTTTTGAATTGTCCCTGTACAGTATTTATACTTTCAAGTGCACTTTAAAAAACGTTTTGAACAGATAAGACTTTTTTTTTATTTATTTCTGACCTCCGCAACAGAGTAATTGGTTTTCAATGCATTTACAAATTTTTTTTTATAATCGTCTCTGTACAGTATTTATGCTTTCAAGTGCACTTTATTTTTTTTTACTTTGTTCTGACCTCCGGAACGGACTAATTGGTTTTCAATGCATTTACGATTTTTTTTTTTTTTCAATCATGTCCCTATACAGTATTTCTGCCTTTAAACTGCACTTTATAAAAAGTTTTAAACAGATAAAATAATTTTTTTAAACTTTTTTCTGACCTCCGGAACGGTTTAATTGGTTTTCAATGCATTCCTATGGGAAACCGCGTTTCGGTTTACAAAAGTTTCACAATACGAAACGCGGTTTCGCATAACGCATTCAATTCGTAAACCGAGGTACCCCTCTATTACTTTTAGATGCGGTGGCGATGGCCAACCCTATGATCCCTGAAGAGTAGATATGTACAACGTGTAGAGTTCACATTTTCAGAATATTCTGTTTTTCTAGAATATTGATCATGTGATCTTAAAGTAAATCACTTTCGTTAAAAAAAAACGTCTGGAATGTAACCAGTTGTGGACATCAGACTTTCTACACGCTGTGTACTTCTGCCTGCGCTCACCCGGACGGCTATTCCTGGCTGTCAAAATGACAGCCGGGAGTTGCTATGTCAATACAGCAGATGTAGGCGTTTCTGCTCTCCAAAAACAGATCATCTGATGCAGGGTTTATAAACATTGTTCAGACGGAGAGGGGCCCCTTCATCAGGGGGTGATACGCTGCTTCCGGCACACCTGTCTGGATGAATGCAGTATCACCAATACTGTGTACCTTTCTTGTGGTCAGGGAGGGGCTCTGATTTCTGCTCCTTGGAGTCGGGTGTAGATCCAGCAGAAGCAGGCGCTGACTGGGCATCGGCTGTGGGGGTGTCATGCTCTTCTGCAAGGAGTGGTGCAGGGTGACAAGGAGCAGTGATGGGACCCGAATCTGGACTTCTGCTCACGGATCCATCAGGAAACAGGACCTGGTACAGAAATGATATGAAGAGGCTGGATGGGATCCAGAAGGTGTCCGATGGATGTATCTACATTCTATATTGCCGGGAACGACAAATGGCAGATTAGTCTACTTCCCCCTTCATCTCCAACATCAGAATTCACCCGTTCTTCACCAATGACATCGCCAAGCTACTAATTCCCTCCCTTGTCATCTCTCTCCTTGACTACTGAAACTTCCTCCCCATTGGCTGGCCTCTGCACAAATATCCCCCTTCAGTCTATCGTGAATGCTGCTGCCCAACTCATCCACCTGACCAACCATTCAGTGTCCACCACCCCTCTCTGCCAATCCCTGACTTCAGTTCACCTCTGTCCCGAGCTACATTACAAATCACTCAGGGCCCATCACCACTCTGTGCCTATCTACCCCCTGGCTTCCCTTCACTCTCTGCCCCAGGTACATCACTAAACACTCAACGTCCTCCACCCCTCTGTAGCCAATCCCCCAATGGCTTCCCTTCACCTCTGCCCCAGGTACGTCAACACTTAGTGTTCACCACTCTTCTCTGCCAATTCTCCACTGGCTTCCCTTCACCTCTGCCCCTCCACTTAGTGTTCACCACATTCTCCACTGGCTTCCCTTCACCTCTGCTCCAAGCAACATCACCAACTGCTCAGTGTCCTCCACCCCTCTGTAGCCAATCCCTCCACTGGCTTTCCTTCACCTCTGCTCCAAGCTACATCACCAACTGCTCAGTGTCCACCACCCCTCTCTGCCAATCTCTCCATTGGCTTCCCTCCACCTCTGCCCCAGGTACATCACTAAACACTGAGTGTCCTCCACCCCTCTGTTGCCAATCCCTCCAATGGCTTCCCTTCACCTCTGCCCCAGGTACATCAACACTCAGTGTTCACCACCCCTCTCTGCCAGTTCTCCATTGGCTTCCCTTCACCTCTGCTCCAAGCTACGTCACCAACTGCTCAGTATCCACCACCCCTCTCTGCCAATCCCTCCAGTGGCTTTCCTCCTGCCCAACGCTACCTCACCAACTGCTCGGTGTCCTCTGCCCTTCTCTTGCAATCCCTCCAGTAGCTTCCCTTCACCTCCACCCTGAGCTACATGAATAGTGGCTGCATCAGTGTCCACTGACATCCCTTTACCTCTGCTCTGAGCTACGTCACCAACTGCTCAGTGTCCACCACCCCTCTCTGGCAATGACTCCAGTGGTTACCCTTTATCTCTGCTCCAAGCTACATCACCAACCTCTCAGTTACTACCCCCCTCTCTGCCAATCCCCTCCACTGGCTTTCCTTCACCTCTGCTCCAAGCTACATCACCAACTGCTCAGTATCTACCACCCCTCTCTGCCAATCGCTCTAGTGGCTTCAGTTCACCTCTGCTCCAAGCCACATCACCAACCATCCATTGTCCTCCACCCCTCTCTGCCAATCCCTCCACCGGCTTCCCTTCACCTCTGACTTAAGCTACATCAACAACCATTCAGTGCCCACCACCCCTCTTAGATTATCTTTCCACTGGATTCCCTTCACCTCTGCTAGAAGCTACATCACCACCCCTCTCTGCCAATCCCTCCAGTGGCTTTCCTCCTGCCCTGTGCTACCTCACCAACTGCTTGGTCCTTCTCTTGCAATCCCTACAGTGGCTTCCCTTCACCTCCACTCTGAGCTACATGAATAGTGGCTGCATCAGTGTCCACTGACATCCCTTCACCTCTGCTCCGAGCTACGTCACCAACCGCTAAGTGTCCACCAACCTCGCTGCCAATCCCTCCACTGGCTTCCCTTCACCTCTGCTCCGAGCTACGTCACCAAACTACTAAGTGTCCACCAACCCTCTCTGGCAATGACTCCACTGGTTACTCTTCACCTCTGCTCCAAGCTACATCACCAACCTCTCAGTATCTACCGCCCCTCTCTGCCAATCCCTCCACTGGCTTCCCTTCACCTCCACCCTGAGGTACATGAATAGTGGCTGCATCAGTGTCCACTGACATCCCTTCACCTCTGCTCCGAACTACGTCACCAATTGCTCAGTATCCACCACCTCTCTGCCAATCCCTCCATTGGCTTCCCTTCACCTCTGCTCCGAGCTACGCTCACCAACCTCTCAGTATCCAACACCCCTCTCTGCCAATCCCTCCACTGACATCCCTTCACCTCTGCTCCGAACTACGTCACCAATTGCTCAGTATCCACCACCTCTCTGCCAATCCCTCCATTGGCTTCCCTTCACCTCTGCTCCGAGCTACGTCACCAACCTCTCAGTATCCAACACCCCTCTCTGCCAATCCCTCCATTGGCTTCCCTTCACCTCTGCTCCGAGCTACGTCACCAACCTCTCAGTATCCAACACCCCTCTCTGCCAATCCCTCCATTGGCTTCCCTTCACCTCTGCTCCGAGCTACGTCACCAACCTCTAAGTGTCCACCAACCCTCGCTGCCAATCCCTCCATTGGCTTCCCTTCACCTCTTCTCCGAGCTACGTCACCAACCTCTCAGTATCTACCACCCCTCTCTGCCAATCCCTCCACTGGCTTCCCTTCACCTCCACCCTGAGGTACATGAATAGTGGCTGCATCAGTGTCCACTGACATCCCTTCACCTCTGCTCCGAGCTACATCACCAACTGCTCAGTATCCTCCACCCCTCTCTGCCAATCCCTCCACTGGCTTCCCTTCACCTCTGCTCCAAGCTACATCACCAACTGCTCAGTATCCACCACCCCTCTCTGCCAATCCCTCCACTGGCTTCCCTTCACCTCTGCTCCGAGCTACATCACCAACCTCTCAGTATCCAACACCCCTCTCTGCCAATCCTTCCATTGGCTTCCCTTCACCTCTGCTCCGAGCTACGTCACCAACCTCTAAGTGTCCACCAACCCTCGCTGTCTATATTTCTTATATATTTAGGGCACATTTTGTAGAAGCTGACAAATGGACAAAATGTATTTTGGCGATCTTACCAATAATAGTTTTCCCTCAAACTTTAAAAAAAATAATGAATATTTGCAGACTGTAATTATTTCTTCTTTCTCTGGGCACAACGCCATCGACAGGCTGGGACAATTTGTCAATGATGACTTCAAAGTGCAAACTCCACCAATAAACTGAAATATATGACATTTTTCTTCTTGGGTTTAAACTGTAATTCTGGATTACCTCTGTGGAGCCGTCCAGCATACGCTTCAATACCGCCCCTTCTGGAGTAATAACACGGCTCGTCTCAGGGATTTCGGGGGTCTTGCTCCCTCTGCACAGCTGGGCGTTCCTCACTCTTATGGGGTAGGTCAGCCTAACGAGTAGACGAGCTGTAGCTCCATCTTTGGCTGTCACACACGAGAGGACGTTTCATTATTAGAGGTGGAGATACAACCTGCCGATGTGGTTTTGGGTCGCGCCAAATGGTGGAACACACAGGGGATGTATGGTAATGATGGAACACACAGGGGAACACACAGGGGATGTATGGTAATGATGGAACACACAGGGGATGTATGGTAATGATGGAACACACAGGGGATGTATGGTAATGATGGAACACACAGGGGATGTATGGTAATGATGGAACACACAGGGGATGTATGGTAATGATGGAACACACAGGGGATGTATGGTAATGATGGAACACACAGAGGATGTATGGTAATGATGGGACACACAGGGGATGTATGGTAATGATGGAACACACAGGGGATGTATGGTAATGATGGAACACACAGGGGATGTATGGTAATGATGGAACACACAGGGGATGTATGGTAATGATGGAACACACAGGGGATGTATGGTAATGATGGGACACACAGGGGATGTATGGTAATGATGGAACACACAGGGGATGTATGGTAATGATGGGACACACAGGGGATGTATGGTAATGATGGAACACACAGGGGATGTATGGTAATGATGGAACACACAGGGGATGTATGGTAATGATGGAACACACAGGGGATGTATGGTAATGATGATGTATGGTAATGATGGGACACACAGGGGATGTATGGTAATGATGGAACACACAGGGGATGTATGGTAATGATGGGACACACAGGGGATGTATGGTAATGATGGAACACACAGGGGATGTATGGTAATGATGGAACACACAGGGGATGTATGGTAATGATGGGACACACAGGGGATGTATGGTAATGATGGAACACACAGGGGATGTATGGTAATGAGGAATGTAGGCACTGTGCAAAAGTTATAGGCAGGTGTGAAGAAATACTGTAAAGCAAGAATGTTTTCAAAAATATATACTTCAATTGTTTATTTTTTTATCAATTTATTAAAGTCAAAGCCAATGAACAGAAGAAAAATCCAGATCAAAAAAAAATCTGGCGTGACCACCCTTTGGTTTCACACCAGCATCATTCTTGCAAAGTCATGGGGGTTTTTAGGATTAGAATCAGATGTATGATTAACAAATTATACATCTGCTTGTGCGTGCTCCCTGGGCGACCTGGTGCCCGCTCCGGACACAGTGGAACACCGATCGTTGCACGGGACCTCTGTGCGAGGTCCCGATCATGTGATCCCTGATTGGCCAATCAGTGATCACATGAAGAGTAGTAAGCAAGATGTCACTGCTGACATCATTGCTTACTACGTGTGAAATCTGTGAATGATCACAGAGATCACATGGTACAGGGCTATTCACAACGGCCTTGTACCATGTGACAAGCTGTGACCAATCACAGCTCACACAGTAGTTCTCAATAGCTGCAGGAATGCAGCCAGAGAGAAGGAGAAATGATTCCTCTTACAGCCTTTATGGGTGTAAAAGCAATCAGTGTAAAAAAAACAAAAAACTTCATCACCCCCCACAAGTAGTACAGTGTCACCATGGTGATACTACTGCTAGTGTGACAGTATGTAAACAAAATATAAATAATAATATAAAAAAAATATAATTGAGTACTGTCCGTGATACTTTTTTTATTTGCACTAACATACAATTTTGAGGACAAGCTTTCGGGGTATGTCCCCTTCTTCACCTCAAGCAAAAAAATATATAAAAATGTTTTAGTAAAATTATAATTTTGGTTATAATTTGGGTTATTTTTTTTTTTTACTAAAAAGATAACTGAATAATTTCTGGTCAAGATTTTTGAAGAAAGATTATTTATTTGCAAAATTTTATAAGAAAAATACTTTTATTCATAATTTTTGGACTTTTTCATTTATATAGCAAAAAAAAAATAAAAATCCCAGCGGTGAATAAATACCACCAAAATAAAGTTTTATCTTTCTCAAAAAATGCTAAAAAATTTATATGGGTACAGTGTTGCATGACCGCGCAATTGTCATTCAAAGTGTGATAGCGCTGAAAGGTGAATGCCTGGGCAGGAAGGGGGTGAAAGTGTTCGGACTGGAAGGGGGTGAAAGTGTCCGGACTGGAAGGGGGGGAAAGTGTCCGGACTGGAAGGGGGGTGAAAATGTCCAGACTGGAAGGGGGGGAAAGTGTCCGGACTGGAAAGGGTGAAAGTGTCCGGACTGGAAGGGGGGGGAAAAGTGTCGGACTGGAAGGGGGTGAAAGCGTCCGGACTGGAAGGGGGGGTGAAAGTGTCCGGACTGGAAGGGGGGTAAAAGTGTCCGGACTGGAAGGGGGTGAAAGTGTCCGGACTGGAAGGGGGGAAAGTGTCCGAACTGGAAGGGGGGGGGAAAGTGTCCGGACTGGAAGGGGGTGAAAGTGTCCGGACTGGAAGGGGGGGAAAGTGTCCAGACTGGAAGGGGGAGTGAAAGTGTCCGGACTGGAAGGGGGGGGGGGGGGGTGAAAGTGTCCGGAAGCGTCCGGACTGGAAGGGGGGAAAGCGTCCGGACTGGAAGGGGGGGAAAGCGTCCGGACTGGAAGGGGGGAAAGCGTCCGGACTGGAAGGGGGGGAAAGCGGACTGGAAGGGGGGGAAAGCGTCCGGACTGGAAGGGGGGGAAAGCGTCCGGACTGGAAGGGGGGGAAAGCGTCCGGACTGGAAGGGGGGGGAAAGCGTCCGGACTGGAAGGGGGGGAAAGCGTCCGTCCTGGAGGGGGGGAAAGGAACTGGGGGGGGAAAGCGTCCGGACTGGAAGGGGGGGAAAGCGTCCGGACTGGAAGGGGGGGAAAGCGTCCGGACTGGAAGGGGGGGAAAGCGTCCGGACTGGAAGGGGGGGAAAGCGTCCGGACTGGAAGGGGGGGAAAGCGTCCGGACTGGAAGGGGGGGAAAGCGTCCGGACTGGAAGGGGGGGGGAAAGCGTCCGGACTGGAAGGGGGGGGGGAAAGCGTCCGGACTGGAAGGGGGGCAAAAGTGTCCGGACTGGAAGGGGGGGGGGGAAAGCGTCCGGACTGGAAGGGGGGGAAAGTGTCCGGACTGGAAGGGGGGGAAAGTGTCCGGACTGGAAGGGGGGGAAAGTGTCCGGACTACAAGGGGGGGGAAAGTGGGGGGGGGGGGAGCGTCCGGACTGGAAGGGGGGAAAGCGTCCGGACTGGAAGGGGGGGAAAAAGTCTGGACTGGAAGGGGTTATAACTGGGTGAGGAACAGCCAAACTCTGCTACTAAGGTGAGGTTGTGGAACACAGTTTCAGGTCACAGGTCATACATCAGGGGAGACTGAGCACAGCAACGCGACACAAGGCAGTTATACTGCATCAGGAAGGTCTCTCCCAGGCAAAGATTTGAAGGCACACTGGGGTTTCAAGATGTGCTGTCCAAGCACTTTTGAAGACGCACAAAGAAACGGGTAACGTTGGGGACCGTAGACGCGGTGCTGGGCCACGGAAACAATGCAGCAGATGAAGGACACATCATGCTTCCTTCCCTTCCACATGGGAAGATGTCCAGCACTGCCATCAGCACAGAACTGGTGGAAACCAGTGGGACCCGGGTACCCCCATCTACTGTCCTGAGATGCCTGGCCAGAAGTGGTCTTCATGGAAGCCACACCCCATACACCAAATATTGACTGGATTTGGATTTCTCTTCTATTCATTTACTTTACATTTTAGTAATAAAATAAACGATGGCCACGCCCATTTCTGAAAGCATTCTTTGCAGCATCTTGTCACACCTGCCTAAAACTTTTGCATAGAACTGTATATAGAACCCACAGGGGATCTGTGGAAATGAGGGGTGTATATAGGACACATGAGAGATTTAAAGTGGTTGTAAACCCTCCATATACCCAGTGAAGTGACTGGCCTCAGGTGAAACACAGAGAGGAAACAAATCCTCCTACATAAAAGTTGTACCTGTTTATCTTCTCTTCTCTACAGCTGTTCAAACTGCAGAATTTATACGGGATCTCTCAGCTCTGAAAAGCAGGGGGCGGGCAGCAATAGTAACACTCAGTGAGCTCTAAGAGCTGATTGGAGGGAATAGACACCCCCCCTTCACACAGCTTATAGAAAGAGAGTTGAGGCTGTCAATCACAAACGGTGCCCTCTCCGTCACCATTTTTCTCTTGGTGTCAGGAAAACCGGTCAGAAGTGATTTGTGCTGATAGCAGAGGAAGGAGGCAGCAGACAGGAATGACACTCAGTGCTCTGGACTGGGACAAGTCCACACTATAGAGGGATGTGCGGGTGTTCATATTTCATGTTGGCAGTTTACAACCACTTTAAAGGTAATGAGAGGTGTATATGAAACACACAGAATTTACAGAGGGGTGTATATAGAACGCAGAGAATTTACGGAGGGGTGTATATAGAGAATTTATGGAGGGGTGTATATACACACAGAATTTACGGAGGGGTGTATATAAGAACACAGAGCAGAGGGGTGTATATAGAACACAGACGGAGGGGTGTATATAGAACACAGAGAGAATTTACGGAGGGGTGTATATAGAACACAGAGAATTTACAGAGGGGTGTATATAGAACACACACAGAATTTACGGAGGGGTGTATATAGAACACACACAGAATTTACGGAGGGGTGTATATAGAACGCAGAGAATTTACGGAGGGGTGTATATAGAACACAGAGAATTTACGGAGGGGTGTATATAGAACACAGAGAATTTACGGAGGGGTGTATATAGAAAACGCAGAGAATTTACGGAGGGGTGTATATAGAACACACAGAGAATTTACGGAGGGGTGTATATAGAACACAGAGAATTTACGGAGGGGTGTATATAGAACACAGAGAATTTACGGAGGGGTGTATATAGAACACAGAGAATTTACGGAGGGGTGTATATAGAACACAGAGAATTTACGGAGGGTGTATATAGAACACAGAGAATTTACGGAGGGGTGTATATAGAACACAGAGAATTTACGGAGGGGTGTATATAGAACACAGAGAATTTACAGAGGGGTGTATATAGAACACAGAGAATTTACGGAGGGGTGTATATAGAAACACAGAGAATTTACGGAGGGGTGTATATAGAAACACAGAGAATTTACGGAGGGGTGTATATAGAACAGAGAATTTACAGAGGGGTGTATATAGAACACAGAGAATTTACGGAGGGGGGGTGTAAATAGAACACAGAGAATTTACGGAGGGGTGTATATAGAACACAGAGAGAATTTACGGAGGGGTGTATATAGAACACAGAGAATTTACGGAGGGGTGTATATAGAACACACAGAGAATTTACGGAGGGGTGTATATAGAACACAGAGAATTTACGGAGGGTGTATATAGAACACAGAGAATTTACGGAGGGGTGTATATAGAACACAGAATTTATACGGAGGGGTGTATATAGAACACACACAGAATTTACGGAGGGGTGTATATAGAACACACACAGAATTTACAGAGGGGTGTATATAGAACGCAGAGAATTTACGGAGGGGTGTATATAGAACACAGAGAATTTACGGAGGGGTGTATATAGAACACAGAGAATTTACGAGAGGGTGTATATAGAACACAGAGAGAATTTACAGAGGGGTGTATATAGAACACAGAGAATTTACGGAGGGGTGTATATAGAACACAGAGAATTTACGGAGGGGTGTATATAGAAACACAGAGAGAATTTACGGAGGGGTGTATATAGAACACAGAGAATTTACGGAGGGGTGTATATAGAACACAGAGAATTTACGGAGGGGTGTATATAGAACACAGAGAATTTACGGAGGGGTGTATATAGAACACAGAGAATTTACGGAGGGGTGTATATAGAACACAGAGAATTTACGGAGGGGTGTATATAGAATGCAGAGAATTTACGGAGGGGTGTATATAGAACACACACAGAATTTACGGAGGGGTGTATATAGAACACAGAGAATTTACGGAGGGGTGTATATAGAACACAGAGAATTTACGGAGGGGTGTATATAGAACACAGAGAATTTACAGAGGGGTGTATATAGAAACACAGAGAATTTACGGAGGGGTGTATATAGAACACAGAGAATTTACACGGAGGGGTGTATATAGAACACAGAGAATTTACGGAGGGGTGTATATAGAACACAGAGAATTTACGGAGGGGTGTATATAGAACACAGAGAATTTACGGAGGGGTGTATATAGAACACAGAGAATTTACGGAGGGGTGTATATAGAACACACACAGAATTTACGGAGGGGTGTATATAGAACACAGAGAATTACGGAGGGGTGTATATAGAACACAGAGAATTTACGGAGGGGTGTATATAGAACGCAATATGGAAAACAATGTATCTACCACTTAGCTGACCTTCTGCATTGTCTCTCTGGAAAGTCAGGAAAAGACCATTGGGGTAGGAGACATTCAGGCTCTGGAAGGCGGGGCCAGCAGGTGCAGGTTTAGGGGGTGGAGTCACCGGAGGCTTAACAGGCTCCACCTGTGCAGATTTAATCGATTATAAATTAAAGCCAATGAATACAGAGCAGTAATAACATTTTATATTGAACCATCTAGACATGTGCAGTACATCATGTGATCGCTAAGAGCCAATATAGAGAGAGCTTGCGGTGTGCTGTCATGTGATTCTTCAGAGCCAATGTACAGAAAACGTGCAATGTGGTTGTATCATGTGATCATTCCGAGCCACACGGTGGCAGTCTGACAGTGTTGAAGAAAGTCTCCCAGCACAGTGAGCAGGACCCTCCCATATCATAGGCTGTTGTGTGACATCATTTCAATTATATATCCATTATATCCACATTCAGAAACTAGAGATACACTATATTGCCAAAACTATTGGTCGGCCGGCCTTTCCACACACATGACCTTTAATGGCCCCCCAGTCTTAGTCCGTAGGGTTCAATATTGAGTTGGCCCCACCCTTTCCACACACATGACCTTTAATGGCCTCCCAGTCTTAGTCCGTAGGGTTCAGTATTGAGTTGGCCCCGCCCTTTCCACATACATGACCTTTAATGGCCCCCCAGTCTTAGTCCGTAGGGTTCAATATTGAGTTGCCCCCCGCCCTTTCCACACATGACCTTTAATGGCCCCCCAGTCTTAGTCCGTAGGGTTCAATATTGAGTTGGCCCCGCCCTTTCCACACATGACCTTTAATGGCCCCCCAGTCTTAGTCCGTAGGGTTCAATATTGAGTTGGCCCCGCCCTTTCCACACACATGACCCTCAATGGCCCCCCAGTCTCAGTCCATAGGGTTCAATATTGAGTTGGCCCCGCCCTTTGCAGCTATAACAGCTTCAACTCTTCTGGGAAGGCCGTCCACAAGGTTTAGGAGGGTGTCTATGGGAAGGTTGGACCATTCTTCCAGAAGCACATTTGTCAGGTCAGGCACTGATGTCGGGGGAGGGGGGCCTGGCTCGCAGTCTCCGCTCTAATTCATCCCAAAGGTGTTCTATGGGGTTGAGGTCAGGACTCTGTGCAGGACAGTCAAGTTCCTCCACCCCAAACTGGCTCCTCCATGTCTTTATGGACCTTGCTTTGTGCACTGGGGGCAGTCATGTTGGAACAGGAAGGGGCCATCCCCAAACTCTTCCCCACAGAGTTGGGAGCATGAAATGGTCCAAAATGTCACCTTAAGAGTTCCGTTCACTGGAACTAGAGGGCCAAGCCCAACCCCTGAAAAACTACCTACCCCAACACCATAATCCCCCCTCCACCAAACTTTACACTTGGCACAATGCAGTCAGGCAAGTACTGCTCTCCTGGCCACCGCCAAACCCAGACATGTCCATCAAATTGCCAGAGGGTCGTGATTGGTCACTCCAGAGAACACATCTCCACTACTCTAGAGTCCAGTGGTGGCGTGCTTTACACCACGGCATCCGACGCTTTGCATTGCACTTGGTGATGGAAGGCTTGGATGCAGCTGCTCGGCCATGGAAACCCATTCCATGGAGCTCTCTACGCACTGTTGTTGGGCTCATCTGAAGGCCACACCAAGTTTGGAGGTCTTTAGCTATTGACTCTGCAGACAGTTGGCGACTTCTGCGCACTGTGCGCTTCAGCATGCGCTGACCCCGCCCTGTCATGTGACGTGGCCTACCACTTGGTGGCTGAGTGGCTGAGAGCGACCCATTCTTTCACCAATGTGAATTTTGTAGAAGCAGTCTGCATGCCTAGGGGCTTGATTGTATACACCTGTGTCCATGGAGGGGATTGGAGCACCTGAATCACATGATTGGGAATCACATGATTGGGGGGATTGGAACACCTGAATCACATGATTGGGAGGGGATTGGAACACCTGGATCACATGATTGGGAGGGGGGGATTGAAACACCTGAATCACATGATTGGGAGGGGATTGGAACACCTGAATCACATGATTGGGATTGGGGATAGGAAACCTGAATCACATGATTGGGATTGGGAGGGGATTGGAACACCTGAATCACATGATTTGGAGGGGATTGGAAACACCTGAATCACATGATTTGGAGGGGGCTGGGGGCGGGCCCAACACTTTTGGCAATATAGTGTATATTCCTAGGTGAACCCCTCACTTACAGGGGCCTCTGGAGTTCGGGGTGTCTCTTCCACGGCTGGGGCCTGTGGTGTCTTCACTCGGATGGCTCTCGGTGATTTATTGCGGGGAGATTTTCGTCCCTTGCCAGAGGGGATGGGTGGAGGAGGATGGGCAGGTGGAGGGGGATGATGCTGGGAGTGTGAACTGATGGGAAGGTCAACATGACCTCCAGCTCGGGATCCTTCTCCTCTATAAAGTCCATAAAGAGAAAACAATTAGGGTGGAGAGCAGTGATAGCGGGGTCAATGGCGGCCATAGTGGTCGCTCTTTTATTCTGACACACCCCATAATATGCAATCATGCAATATGTAGCGCACCTGTTCCTCTGCCGGAGGCGCCATAGTGGCTCAGAGACAATTGTATCCCGCTCTGCAGGGTGGCGGAGAATGACCCAAATTCACAGACGCTTCTCGCCTTGGAGGCGGGCTTTCCTGCGGAAAGAGTCACGTGACACACGTGTGAACAAAGACTGAGCCACGGATCTCGGCGGTTCTCTGCCACATGACACGAAGAAGAGGAATGTTACCTCTGTACTGTACTCACCACTCTGCTCCATCTGGCCTCCATCATCTTGGTTATCAGCGGTCGTTTTCTTCGGGTTAATAATGTGAACCAGAAACTTGTGTCCGTCTCTCAGTAATTTCACTTTCACGAAGGTGGAGCCTTATAGGAAGACGACAACATTGGTCAGAATATAGCCAAGTGCACCTTTCAGCACCACGAGCTCTCGTAGACACGTACCGGAGGGAAACAGAGTGGGGTAGGAACAGGGAAAAGCCACAACGAGGTTCCTGCTCCTTGGAGACCCATATTGAGCTTATGTAGCCATTCCAAATGCTCTCTCCACCGCCACGGGGTAACTGCTCGTTTTTGTCTACGGGAACAGAGAAAGGAGATCTACTTACCTAATCCTCCAATCCGCCGCGCACAAGACCGGTCCGGCACCCTTGCACTCCATCAGCCTTGAGTTGTAGAATGTTCTTGAGGTCATCAAGCCCAGAGCAGGCTCCATAGACCAGGAACAGTCCACCATTGGACCATGGGGGAGCACCATTTTCCAGTGGAATGGAGGATCAGGTGAGTATAAGCTTTCACCTCACTCCTAGACACAACGAGCAGTTGACCGGCGCAGCGCTCTCTCCACCGCCACGGGTTAACTGCTTGTTTTTGAAAAGCTCAACGAGGTTCCGGCTCCTTGGAGACCAATATTGAGCTTATGTAGCCATTTCCAAATGCTCTCTCCACTGCCCACCGTCCGTTCCACTGCGCACAAGACCGATCCGTCACCCTCGCGCTCTAGCAGCCTTGAGTTGTAGACTGTCTTGAGGTCATCAAGCCCAGAGCAGGCTCCATAGACCAGGAACAGTCCACCATTGGACCATGGGGGAGCACCATTTTCCAGTGGAATGGAGGATCAGGTGAGTATAAGCTTTCACCTCACTCCTAGACACAACGAGCAGTTTGACCGGCGCAGCGCTCTCTCCACCGCCACGGGTTAACTGCTTGTTTTTGTCTACGGGAACAGAGAAATACTTACCAATCCTCCGATTCCACTGCGCACAAGACCGATCCGTCACCCTCGCGCTCTAGCAGCCTTGAGTTGTAGACTGTTCCTGAAGTCATCAAGCCCAGAGCAGGCTCCATAGACCAGGAACAGTCCACCATTGGACCATGGGGTAGCACCATTCTCCAGTGGAATGGAGGATCAGGTGAGTATAAGCTTTCTCCTCACCCCTAGATATATCGAGCAGTTGACCGGCGCAGCGCTCTCTCCCACCGCCACGGGTCAACTGCTTGTTTTTGTCTACGGGAACAGAGAAAGGAGATCTACTTACCTAATCCTCCGATTCCACCGCACACAAGACCGGTCCGGTACCCTCGTGCTCCAGCAGCCTGGAGTTGTAGACTGTTCCTGATGTCGCCAAGCCCAGAACAGGCTCCAAAGACCAGGAACAGTCCACCACTGGACCATGGGTGAGCACCATTTTCCAGTGGAATGGAGGATCAGGTGAGTATAAGCTTTCTCCTCACCCCTAGATATAACGAGCAGTTGACCGGCACAGCCCGACTGCATGAGAAAACGATATTTTGGGGCTTTAACTCCAAAGTGGAATATATTGTACAGAAGAGTTAATGTGCATAAATTGTGCAATGAAATATTTACCTCTTGCCTTGATGTCTTCCAAAAAACTGCAGTGCACTTCCTGTGCCTAGGCACTACTGTTCCTCAGCTGTATGTAGCAGTGTAAGACCATCTAAGGCACCGCTGTCTCTGACTGCTAGTCTCAGGAGATTTGGTGATGTCACTGCTGTGCTGTTCTCCTTGCTGGAGAGGAAACTGTACCTGAGAACCTGCACTGCAAGGATCTCCCTGCTCCTGAATCATCCATTCTGTGGATCTGTGCTTCATTCATCTCTCCTGATTCAGCCTCACACTGGGGGAGGGGAGACTGAGGAAATGCTTCCTCCTCCTTCTACAAAGTTACAATGTACAGTCTGATCGCTGGGGGAGAGGAGACTGAGGAAATGCTTCCTCCTCCTTCTACAAAGGTACAATGTAAAGTCTGATCAGTGGGGGAGGGGAGACTGAGGAAATGCATCCTCCTCCTTCTACAGCGTTACAATGTACAGTCTGATCACTGGGGGAGGGGAGACTGAGTAAATGCCTCCTCCTTCTTGTACAGAGTTACAATGTACAGTCTGATCAGTGGGGGAGGGGTGACTAAGGAAATGCCTCCTCCTCCTCCTCCTACAGAGTTACAATGTACAGTTTGATCACTGGGGGAGGGGACACTGAGGAAATGCCTCCTCCTCCTTCTACAAAGTTACAATGTACAGTCTGATCACTGGGGGAGGAGAGACTGAGGAAACGCCTCCTCCTTCTACAAAGTTACAATGTACAGTCTGATCACTGGGGGAGGGGAGACTGAGGAAATGCCTCCTTCTCCTTCTACAAAGTTACAATGCCCCCCCCATCTCTGTATATATGATGAGTGATATGTCATGCAGCATCCATCCAGCTCTGTATAAGGATATATATGGTGGGGAACGCCCGTGTCATCTCACCCTTCTCAAAATGAGTGTGTTCCACCTGGATCTGCCCCCCGTCTGTGGGGTACAGGCATCGGCAGCCTCCGGAGACTTGGATCAGATTGTCTCCCATGTCGTAGCCGGTAAACTAAAATGATAAAGAGAATTAGGAGTTTCCTCAACCTGTTCAGCTCTCATATGTCCCCTACAGAGCCGAGGAGCAAGAACTTCGTGTGGCTGGTTTGTGAAATGTACATTCAATATTTCATCTACACGATATTGCCCCAAGTATTGGACCGCCGGCCTTTCCATGCACGACCTTTAATGGCCCCCCAGTCTTAGTCCGTAGGGTTCAATATTGAGTCGGCCCCGCCCTTTCCACACACATGACCTTTAATGGGCCCCCAGTCTTAGTCCATAGGGTTCAATATTGAGTTGGCCCCGCCCTTTCCACACACATGACCTTTAATGGCCCCCCAGTCTTAGTCCGTAGGGTTCAATATTGAGTTGGCCCCGCCCTTTCCACACACATGACCTTTAATGGCCCCCCAGTCTTAGTCCGTAGGGTTCAATATTGAGTTGGCCCCGCCCTTTCCACACACATGACCTTTAATGGCCCCCCAGTCTTAGTCCGTAGGGTTCAATATTGAGTTGGCCCCGCCCTTTGCAGCTATAACAGCTTCAACTCTCCTGGGAAGGCCGTCCACAAGGTTTAGGAGGGTGTCTATGGGAAGGTTGGACCATTCTTCCAGAAGCACATTTGTCAGGTCAGGCACTGATGTCGGGGGAGGAGGCCTGGCTCACAGTCTCCGCTCTAATTCATCCCAAAGGTGTTCTATGGGGTTGAGGTCAGGACTCTGTGCAGGACAGTCAAGTTCCTCCACCCCAAACTGGCTCCTCCATGACTTTATGGACCTTGCTTTGTGCACTGGTGGGCAGTCATGTTGGGACAGGAAGGGGCCGTCCCCAAACTCTTCCCACAGAGCTGGGGGCATGAAATTGTCCAAAATGTCGCATTAGGAGTTCCCTTCACTGGAACTAGGGGGCCAACCTAACCCCTGAAAAACAACCCCACACCATAATCTCCCCTCCACCAAACTTTACACTTGGCACAATGCAGTCGGGCAAGTACCGTTCTCCTGGCCACGGCCAAACCCAGACACATCCATCGGATTGCCAGACAGAGAAGCGTGATTGGTAACTCAAGAGAACACGTCTCCACTGCTCTAGAGTCCAGTGGCGGCGTGCTTTACACCACGGCATCCGACGCTTTGCATTGCACTTGGTGATGGAAGGCTTGGATGCAGCTGCTTGGCCATGGAAACCCATTCCATGGAGCTCTCTACGCACTGTTGTTGGGCTCATCTGAAGGCCACACCAAGTTTGGAGGTCTTTAGCTATTGACTCTGCAAACAGTTGGCGACATCTGCGCACTGTGCGCTTCAGCATGCGCTGACCCCGCCCTGTCATGTGACGTGGCCTACCACTTGGTGGCTGAGTGGCTGTTGTTCCCAGTTGCTTCCACTTTGCTATAATCCCACTAACAGTTGAGCGTGGAATATTTAGTAGCCAGGAAATGTCACGGATGGACTTATTGCCCAGGTGGCCACCTATCACGGGACCACGCTTGGAGTCACTGAGCTCCTGAGAGCGACCCATTCTTTCACCAATGTTTGTAGAAGCCGTCTGCATGCCTAGGGGCTTGATTGTATACACCTGTGGCCATGGAGGGGATTGGAACACCTGAATCACATGATATGGAGGGGATTGGAACACCTGAATCAACACCTGAATCACATGATTTGGAGGGGGGGCGGAGGGGGAACCCAATACATTTGACAAATATAGTATATATCATACCACGTACCTTGAACTCTGTCTCAGGCGGAGTTGGTGGAGCCTCGGTGGGGTCCGGCCCGGGCTCTGGCAGCTTGACCTCCTCATTATCGTTCTTCTCTTTGACACCTTTCCTGGGGCTGGTGGGAGACCCTTTACTACCCCGGGAGTCGGAGCGCTCTCTGCCCCCCGTCTTCTTCTTGGGGCTCGATTTACGACCTTTCGCATTTTTCTTCTCCTGTTTCAGTCGTTCCTCTTCCATTAGGCGGTCTTGTTCAATCTTCCAGGCCTGGAGAACAGAAGATACATCATGTGTAGCCCAAGAGGAGCTGCAGAATAATAATGGGCGATCCTGCCGTCCTCATGGTGACCAGCTCTCTAGCTGCACCCCATAACTCATAAAATAAGGGGACTTTGATCTAAGGGGGGGGAGGGGCTCTAAGGGGGTTCTGATTTAGTAGATGGCCTGTAAGGAGGTGCTGATATACGGGCACTCTGATCTAATGGGGGGTCTCTAAGGAGGTTGCTGCCAGAAGGGGGTTCTGATCTAATAGATGGCCTGTAAGGAGGTGCTGATATACGGGGACTCTGATCTAATGGGGGGGTCTCTAAGGGGGACCCTGATATAAGGGTACCCTGACCTAAAGGGAGGTCTCTAAAGGGGGCACTGATATAAAGGGACTCTCATCTAATGGGGGGTCTCTAATCTAAGGGGGTCCTGACATAAGGGACTCTTTTCTAACCGGGGGGTCTCTAAGATATATGATATCAGATATAAGAGCACTCTGATCTAATGGATAGTCTCTAAGGGGGGGCCCTATAATATAACAGGGGCTCTGATTTAATGGGGGGGGTCACTAAGGGGGGCACTGGTTTAAGGGGAGTCTGATCTAATGGGGGTTCTCTAAGGGGGCACGGATATAAGGGTGACTCTGAACTAATGGATGGTCTAAGGGGAGCTCTGATATAAGGGGGGACTCTGATCTAATGGGGGTTTCTGATCTATTGGGGGCTTCTCTAAGGGGAAGCATGGATATAAGGGACCTCTGATCTAATGGGGGGGGGGGGTCACACCACAGGACGCTATCTACCTCAAGTGTCCCTTATTATCAAGTTCTAACATTGGGCGGTAGGTCTTGGGCCTCCTAGATTCTTTTGACCTCTTCCACAGCTTAGTTTTAGGACTCTAGTCCTCTGCCAGAGGCAAGCATAGATTGTGTAGGACCAGCTTGGGGGCTACCTTCCAGGTATAGATTCTGTAGGACCAGCTTGGGGGCTACCTTCCAGGTATAGATTCTGTAGGACCAGCTTGGGGGCTACCTTCCAGGTATAGATTCTGTAGGACCAGCTTGGGGGCTACCTTCCAGGTATAGAGTCTGTAGGACCAGCTTGGGGGCTACCTTCCAGGTATAGATTCTGTAGGACCAGCTTGGGGGCTACCTTCCAGGTATAGATTCTGTAGGACCAGCTTGGGGGCTACCTTCCAGGTATAGATTCTGTAGGACCAGCTTGGGGGCTACCTTCCAGGTATAGATTCTGTAGGACCAGCTTGGGGGCTACCTTCCAGGTATAGAGTCTGTAGGACCAGCTTGGGGGCTACCTTCCAGGTATAGAGTCTGTAGGACCAGCTTGGGGGCTACCTTCCAGGTATAGATTCTGTAGGACCAGCTTGGGGGCTACCTTCCAGGTATACAGTCTGTAGGACCAGCTTGGGGGCTACCTTCCAGGTATAGATTCTGTAGGACCAGCTTGGGGGCTACCTTCCAGGTATAGATTCTGTAGGACCAGCTTGGGGGCTACCTTCCAGGTATAGATTCTGTAGGACCAGCTTGGGGGCTACCTTCCAGGTATAGATTCTGTAGGACCAGCTTGGGGGCTACCTTCCAGGTATAGATTCTGTAGGACCAGCTTGGGGGCTACCTTCCAGGTATAGATTCTGTAGGACCAGCTTGGGGGCTACCTTCCAGGTATAGATTCTGTAGGACCAGCTTGGGGGCTACCTTCCAGGTATAGATTCTGTAGGACCAGCTTGGGGGCTACCTTCCAGGTATAGATTCTGTAGGCCAGTTGGGGGATACCTCAGGTATAGATTCTGGACCAGCGGCTACAGGTAGATTGAGGGCTTGGGGGCTAAAGGTATACGCCTCTTGGGGGCTACCTTCCAGTTTTCTGAATTCTACACAGGCCAGTTTGGATACTCCCCGGACAGGTAGTGAGGGTGAAAAAACGCCTCTTGGCTCTGATTTTACCCTACCCCCAAGAAAAGGTACTGGGAGGCAAGGAATGAGGCTTTGCACCATGTAGAGCCTGGGAGGTAAGGTCCGGCATGTGGAAGAGGCCAGTGCAGATTTCGTATTCCCAGCTAAGGGGCTACCTTCCAGTTTCCTGACCTTCTGCCACAGGCCAGTTGGGACAATCTAGGCCCAGATGGGCAGCTAGGATGACAACACCCTTCTAGGCTATGACTACCTCCTCCAGGAAAAGGTCCCGGGGAGGCAAGGAATGGACCTCTGGACTCGCATCCTCTCCATGCAGAACTTGGGAGGCGAAGACTCTTCTAGGAGGTCTCTCTAAAAACTCTGATGTGATGGTGGGGGGACTCTAATGTGATGGTGGGGGGGGGGGGACTCTGATACGATGGGGGGACTCTGATGTGATGGTGGGGGGACTCTGATGTGATGGTGGGGGGGGACTCTGATGTGGTGGGGGGGGACTCTGATGTGATGGTGGGGGGGACTCTGATGTGATGGTGGGGGACTCTGATGTGGGGGGACTCTGATGTGGTGGGGGGGGGGGGACTCTGATGTGATGGTGGGGGGGGGGAATCTGATGTGATGGTGGTGGGGGGGGACTCTGATGTGATGGTGATGGGGGGGGGGGACTCTGATGTGATGGTGGGGGGGGAGGACTCTGATGTGATGGTGGGGGGGGCATAAGGTGATGAGGACCTGTAATGTGAAGTTAATTTCATCGAATGTAATTGTGTGCACTGCGCCGGGCCCAGGTTCCCCATTGACGGTAAGTAGACACGTGTAGAAAGAAAACATTTGTTTCAATGAATTCCGTAACAGTTCGTTGCATTTGTAACAAAATTCGTTTAGTTTCGACCGAATTAAATTTTTTTCCAATGGATTCTAAGTATTCGAACTGAAGATATTGAATCGATCCGAATTCATTGTGAAGAATAGCTGGTTTCTAGTCTATGAAATGTTCAAATTTTAGAAGACGGCTGTATTCTTTCTATTCTGTGTTTTTTTCTATTCCATTCAATTCTATCGCTTTATTTTCTATTGAATTCTATTCATTCTTTTATATTATTTTATTTTCTATTCAAGTTTATTTTAATCTAAAATTTGAATATCAGAAGTCAGCTGTATTCTATGTAATTCTTCTCTATTCCATCCTTTTATTTTCTATTCTATTCCTTTACTTTCTATTGTATTGTATTTTTACTTATTTTATATTCTATTATTTTTTATTCTATTCTTATCTATTCTGTTCTAATTGATTGCATTTTTTTTCTATGCTATTCTTTATATCCACTTAGGCCTCTTTCACACGGGTTGAAAAATGGACCCCCATATATTTCTATAGACTAGCGGAGGTGAACGGGTGATCATCTGTTTACATCCATTAATGTCCGCATCCGTTAACATCCGTTTTTTTTATAACAGAAGAAAACCCCATTTTTCTTCCATTAAAAAAAGGAATGGACAAAAAAAAAGGATGTAAACGGATGAAAAATGGATGAAAAAATGGATGTCAATGGATGAAAAAAAATGGATGTAAACGGATGAAAAAATGGATGTAAACATGGATGTAAACGGATGAAAAAATGGATGTAAACATGGATGTAAACGGATGAAAAACGGATGTAAATGATGAAAAACGGATGAAAAAACGGATGAAAAAATGGATGTCAATGGATGAAAAAAATGGATGTAAACGGATGAAAAAATGGATGTAAACATGGATGTAAACGGATGAAAAAATGGATGTAAACATGGATGTAAACGGATGAAAAAAAAATGGATGTAAACAGATGAAAAACGAATGAAAAAAATAGATGAAAAAAAAAAACGGATGAAAAAAATGGATGTAAACACATGAAAAACGGATGGAAAAATTTATGTAAACGGATGGAAAAATGGATGTAAACGGATGAAAAATGGATGTAAACATGGATGTAAACGGATGAAAAAATGGATGTAAACAGATGAAAAACGAATGAAAAAAATAGATGAAAAAAAACGGATGAAAAAATGGATGTAAACACATGAAAAACGGATGGAAAAATTGATGTAAACGGATGGAAAAATGGATGAAACGGATGGAAAAATAGATTTGTCCCGAAAAAAATACACTTTAATGAATTAAAAAAAAACCCCATTTTTTAGCATAGGTCATATAGAGAATAAAATGGCGGTTGTTGCAATTTTTTTTTTTTTACGTCACACGATATTTGCGCAGAGATCTTTCAAGCATGTTTTTTTTTTCTGGAAAAAATACACTTTATTAAATTAAAAAAACGACAATATACTGTGTGACCCGATTTTTTTTTTTTTAAAGAAAGACTGGAAATTTTAATGGCGGGGTTGTGGTATCTGGCCGGTAGCCGGTATTTAACATCAAAGTAATGATGGATTTTCCCAGTTAGGCGGTCGGCAAGTAGATTTTATATTCTTTTCTTTTCTTTTCTACTCCATTCTATTCTGTGTTATTCTCTTCTTTTCTATTCATTTTCTATTTTATTCTTTTATTTTCTATTCTATTCTTTTCTATTCCATTCTAATTTATGTTATTCTATTAATTTATTTTCTATTTTCTTTATTTTCTATTCTAATCCTTTCTATTCCATTCTTTTCTACGTTATGCTCTTCTTTTCTATTCATTTATTTTCTATTTTATTCTTTTATTTTCTATTCTATTCTTTTCTATTCCATTCTATTCTACGTGATTCTATTCTTTTCTATTCTATTCTTTTTGAATTTCAGAAGATGGCTACACTAATACACACACAGTTAATGAAGGAAACCAGAAATAGTCAGCAAGATGTTTACATTTCTAATTTGTTTTTGAATTTGTTTCAAATTCGACTTGAATAATTTGTTAATTTGACAAAATTTCATTTTGATGCTTCGAATTTGTTTAAAATTGTTTCTATTGTAATCTGGAAATTTGGCTAAATTCAAATAACATTTGCATCCAAATTTCACTTCGGAACGAAACGAACCGCAAATGTCAACCAATCTGATCTCTCTGAGTGAAAGAAAAAAAATGGGGCTTCTACCCACTTTGAGGGAGTCCTCCCGGATGAAGGGGTTCTTAGCTGGATCTGTGGATGGCTCTTCATCCTGACTTCCATGTCTGGACCGGCTGCCCCCGGGACCTGCAAAGGACAGATTATTAACTGAAGCATGAAATTATCCAAAATGTCACCTTAAGAGTTCCCTTCACTGGAACTAGGGGGCCAACCCAACCCCTGAAAAACATCCCCCCACCATAACCCCCCCCCCCCCTCCACCAAACTTTACACTTGGCACAATGCAGTCAGGCAAGTACCATTCTCCTGGCCACCGCCAAACCCAGACATGTCCATCGGATTGCCAGACAGATAAGTGTGATTGGTCACTCCAGAGAACACGTCTCCCCTGCTCTAGAGTCCAGTGGCGGCGTGCTTTACACCACGGCATCCGACGATTTGCATTGCACTTGGTGATGGAAGGCTTGGATGCAGCTGCTCGGCCATGGAAACCCATTCCATGAAGCTCTCTACGCACTGTTGTTGGGCTCATCTGAAGGCCACACCAAGTTTGGAGGTCTTTAGCTATTGACTCTGCAGACAGTTGGTGACTTCTGCGCACTGTGCGCTTCAGCATGCGCTGACCCCGCCCTGTCATGTGACGTGGCCTACCACTTTGGTGGCTGAGTGGCTGTTGTTCCCAGTTGCTTCCACTTTGTTATAATCCCACTAACAGTTGAGCGTGGAATATTTAGTAGCCAGGAAATGTCACGGATGGACTTATTGCCCAGGTGGCCACCTATCACGGGACCACGCTTGGAGTCACTGAGCTCCTGAGAGAGACCCATTCTTTCACCAATGTTTGTAGAAGCCGTCTGCATGCCTAGGGGCTTGATTGTATACACCTGTGTCCATGGAGGGGATTGGAGCACCTGAATCACATGATATGGAGGGGATTGGAACACCTGAATCATATGATATGGAGGGGATTGGAACACCTGAATCATATGATATGGAGGGGATTGGAACCTGAATCACATGATTGGGAGGGGATTGGAACACCTGAATCATATGACTGGGAGGGGACTGAAACACTTGAATCACATGATTGGGAGGGGATTGAAACACCTGAATCACCTGAATGATATGGAGGGGATTGGAACACCTGAATCACATGACTGGGAGGGCGGGGCCAATACTTTTGGCAATATACTGTATGTGGAATCCTTGCACTTATTTGTTGTAAATGTAAATAAATGGCTGAAAGTGACAATACAAACCTGCAGACACGGGGAAGAGGCTTCCTTGTCACTGGACTACTGGAATGGGAGAGAGGTGACTTGGTGGTGAGGAAACATCTCGGGAACAGCAGTCCTTGTGATTGTCCCATTCTGCAGTCCTTAATGGTGCAAAACTAGAACCATCCAGAGACACTTTGCTAACAGGAGAGGTCGGAGGACGAAGGCTGTAGGGGGGATCACCAACACTGGATGACTGAAGGCTGTAGGGGGGATCACCAACACTGGATGACTGAAGGCTGTAGGGGGATCACCAACACTGGATGACTGAAGGCCATAGACTGAGGATCACCAACACTGGATGACTGAAGACTGTAGGGGGATCACCAACACTGGGTGACTGAAGGCTGTAGGGGGATCACCAACACTGGATGACTGAAAGCTGTAGGGGGATCACCAACACTGGGTGACTGAAGGCTGTAGGGGGGATCACCAACACTGGATGACTGAAGGCTGTAGGGGGGAATCACCAACACTGGATGACTGAAGGCTGTAGGGGGGGTCACCAACACTGGATGACTGAAGACTGTAGGGGGATCACCAACACTGGATGACTGAAGGCTGTATGGGGGATCACCAACACTGGGTGACTGAAGACTGTAGGGGGGATCACCAACACTGGATGACTGAAGGCTGTAGGGGGGGATCACCAACACTGGATGACTGAAGACTGTAGGGGGATCACCAACACTGGATGACTGAAGACTGTAGGGGGATCATCAACACTGGATGACTGAAGGCTGTATGGGGGATCACCAACACTGGATGACTGAAGACTCTAGGGGGGATCACCAGCACTGGATGACTGAAGGCTGTATGGGGGATCACCAACACTGGATGACTGAGGACTGTAGGGGGATCACCAACACTGGATGACTGAAGACTGTAGGGGGATCATTAACACTGGATGACTGAAGGCTGTATGGGGGATCACCAACACTGGATGACTGAAGACTGTAGGGGGGATCACCAGCACTGGATGACTGAAGGCTGTATGGGGGATCACCAACACTGGATGACTGAAGACTGTAGGGGGATCACCAACACTGGATGACTGAAGGCTGTAGGGGGATCACCAACACTGGATGACTGAAGACTGTAGGGGGATCACCAACACTGGATGACTGAAGACTGTAGGGGGATCACCAACACTGGATGACTGAAGGCTGTATGGGGGATCACCAACACTGGATGACTGAAGACTCTAGGGGGGATCACCAGCACTGGATGACTGAAGGCTGTATGGGGGATCACCAACACTGGATGACTGAAGACTCTAGGGGGGATCACCAACACTGGATGACTGAAGGCTGTAGGGGGGGATCACCAACACTGGATGACTGAAGACTGTAGGGGGATCACCAACACTGGATGACTGAAGGCTGTAGGGGGATCACCAACACTGGATGACTGAAGGCTGTAGGGGGGATCACCAACACTGGATGACTGAAGACTGTAGGGGGATCACCAACACTGGATGACTGAAGACTGTAGGGGGATCACCAACACTGGAAGACTGAAGGCTGTATGGGGGATCACCAACACTGGATGACTGAAGACTAGGGGGGAAGACTGACTGAAGGCTGTATGGGGGATCACCACACTGGATGACTGAAGACTCTAGGGGGGATCACCAGCACTGGATGACTGAAGGCTGTATGGGGGATCACCAACACTGGATGACTGAAGACTCTAGGGGGGATCACCAACACTGGATGACTGAAGGCTGTAGGGGGGGATCACCAACACTGGATGACTGAAGACTGTAGGGGGATCACCAACACTGGATGACTGAAGGCTGTAGGGGGATCACCAACACTGGATGACTGAAGGCTGTATGGGGGATCACCAACACTGGATGACTGAAGACTGTAGGGGGATCACCAACACTGGATGACTGAAGGCTGTAGGGGGGATCACCAACACTGGATGACTGAAGGCTGTAGGGGGATCAACACTGGATGACTGAAGGCTGTAGGGGGGATCACAAACACTGGATGACTGAAGGCTATAGGGGGATCACCAACACTGGATGACTGAAGGCTGTAGGGGGGATCACCAACACTGGATGACTGAAGGCTGTAGGGGGGATCACCAACACTGGGTGACTGAAGGCTGTAGGGGGGATCACCAACACTGGATGACTGAAGGCTGTAGGGGGGATCACCAACACTGGATGACTGAAGGCTGTAGGGGGGATCACCAACACTGGATGACTGAAGGCTGTAGGGGGGATCACCAAATGTGTTTTTATTTTGCCATTTTTACTCACTTTTAGATTTTTTGGGCGAGGAGGACTTTTTGGCCTTCTTCTTGCTGGGTGAGGCGTCCCTGGAGGTGGCTCCTCCTCCGTCCTGTGTATCCTGAGCCCGTTTCAAAGCCTCCATCTCCCTCTCCAGCCTCTCCCGATACGTCGCCTCCTCATCCTGCACCCAGTTTGAGATGGAGTCGGCCACCAACTCCAGATAATTTCTGCCAAAAAAAAAATCAGGTGGGTCAGTTCCCATTCATCGGGTGTCAAGGACAAGTCACAATAATCGATTGGGGTACACAGGGATCAACAACACCTCTTGGTTTAGGCCCGCCTCCCGATTCCCCGCCCCCTACTTCTCAGACCTGAGAGTTCCCATGTAAATTCTGCACTTTGAACAGACCGGCCTGATGAAGGGGTCCTGCGAGGCTCCGAAACGTTGCTCCTGCTGTAACTATGTGATCGCTGAATAAAGCTTTGGACCCGTATTAAAGTTTATAGTCCCTATGGGTCCCTATGGGCCTATTAGAGTGCGAAAATGAACAAATCATCATAAAATACACAAAAATCGTACTATTGGTGGTTAAAGTGGCTGTAAACCCAAATCAGTCAAATCTCATACAACCTTAATGTCGTGTTCTATAATCTGCAGCCTTCACTGAAAGGATTCCAGGAGATCCTGCCATGAAGGCATTTCCTGTTACAGGGTGACAACACTCCGCCCATGTCCTCCAATTGTGCTCCTGTGTTGTCACCCGCTCTTTTAATGGCCATTTCAACACAAATTACGTAGACAGGGTCCACTGTTGTCACCGTCAGGAAACTTGCCCTGAAAAATGTGTCTTTTCCTAGGTTCCATTTTTGCTCTTCCCAATAACTGGACATCAGGGGCGGACTGAACATTCGAGCACTCGGGCACTGCCCAAGGGCCCGGGGTCAGTAGGGGGCCCCATGAGATGCCTTTGATACTTTCACAGGCTTTTTTGGGTGTGGTTTGAGTGTTGGCTAGGACACAGGGGCCCCATGATTTCCTATTGCCCAGGGGACCCATGAGTTGTCAGTCTGCCCCTGCTGGACATTGTGGGTAAGAGCTGGAACCTACGACAGTTCTGTTGTTTGTGGGGTTGTTGGTTGATTTCTTAAATACTGCCAAAAAATGGAAGTTTGTATTAAAGGTGTTCTCATTCAGCTGATCCCTCGTGTCCAAATATGACCTCTGTGTGTACATCAGGTGAACGCATCCGGATATACTGTACATACACTACACTGCCGGAAGTATTGGCCCCGCCCTCCATATCATGTGATTCAGGGGTTCCAATCCCCTCCATATCATGTGATTCAGGTGTTCCAATCCCCTCCCAATCATGTGATTCAGGTGTTCCAATCCCCTCCATATCATGTGATTCAGGAGTTCCAATCCCCTCCATATCATGTGATTCAGGTGTCCCGATCCCCTCCATTTCATGTGATTCAGGTGTTCCGATCCCCTCCCAATCATGTGATTCAGGTGTTCCAATCCCCTCCCAATCATGTGATTCAGGTGTTCCAATCCCCTCCATATCATGTGATTCAGGTGTTCCAATCCCCTCCATATCATGTGATTCAGGTGTTCCAATCCCCTCCATATCATGTGATTCAGGTGTCCCGATCCCCTCCATATCATGTGATTCAGGTGTTCCGATCCCCTCCCAATCATGTGATTCAGGTGTTCCGATCCCCTCCCAATCATGTGATTCAGGTGTTCCGATCCCCTCCCAATCATGTGATTCAGGTGTTCCAATCCCCTCCATATCATGTGATTCAGGTGTTCCGATCCCCTCCCAATCATGTGATTCAGGTGTTTCGATCCCCTCCCAATCATGTGATTCAGGTGTTCCAAATCCCTCCCAATCATGTGATTCAGGTGTTCCAAATCCCTCCAAATCATGTGATTCAGGTGTTCCAATCCCCTCCCAATCATGTGATTCAGGTGTTCCGATCCCCTCCCAATCATGTGATTCAGGTGTTCCGATCCCCTCCCAATCATGTGATTCAGGTGTTCCAATCCCCTCCATATCATGTGATTCAGGTGTTCCGATCCCCTCCCAATCATGTGATTCAGGTGTTTCGATCCCCTCCCAATCATGTGATTCAGGTGTTCCAAATCCCTCCCAATCATGTGATTCAGGTGTTCCAAATCCCTCCAAATCATGTGATTCAGGTGTTCCAAATCCCTCCAAATCATGTGATTCAGGTGTTCCGATCCCCTCCATATCATGTGATTCAGGTGTTCCAATCCCCTCCCAATCATGTGATTCAGGTGTTCCAATCCCCTCCCAATCATGTGATTCAGGTGTTCCAATCCCCTCCCAATCATGTGATTCAGGTGTTCCAAATCCCAATCATGTGATTCAGGTGTTCCAATCCCCTCCCAATCATGTGATTCAGGTGTTCCAATCCCCTCCCAATCATGTGATTCAGGTGTTCCAATCCCCTCCCAATCATGTGATTCAGGTGTGCCAATCCCCTTTATATCATGTGATTCAGGTGTTCCAATCCCCTCCCAATCATGTGATTTAGGTGTTCGAATCCCCTCCATATCATGTGATTCAGGTGTTCCAATCCCCTCCCAATGATGTGATTCAGGTGTTCCAATCCCCTCCATATCATGTGATTCAGGCGTTCCAATCCCCTCCCAATCATGTGATTCAGGTGTTCCAATCCCCTCCCAATCATGTGATTCAGGCGTTCCAATCCCCTCCCAATCATGTGATTCAGGCGTTCCAATCCCCTCCATATCATGTGATTCAGGTGTTCCAATCCCCTCCCAATCATGTGATTCAGGTGTTCCAATCCCCCTCCCAATCATGTGATTCAGGTGTTCCAATCCCCTCCCAATCATGTGATTCAGGTGTTCCAATCCCCTCCATATCATGTGATTCAGGTGTTCCAATCCCCTCCATGGACACAGGTGTATACAATCAAGCCCCTAGGCATGCAGACGGCTTCTACAAACATTGGTGAAAGAATGGGTCGCTCTCAGGAGCTCAGTGACTCCAAGCGTGGTCCCGTGATAGGTGGCCACCTGGGCAATAAGTCCATCCGTGACATTTCCTGGCTACTAAATATTCCACGCTCAACTGTTTAGTGGGATTATAACAAAGTGGAAGCAACTGGGAACAACAGCCACTCAGCCACCAAGTGGTAGGCCACGTCACATGACAGGGCGGGGGTCAGCGCATGCTGAAGCGCACAGTGCGCAGAAGTCGCCAACTGTCTGCAGAGTCAATAGCTAAAGACCTCCAAACTTGGTGTGGCCTTCAGATGAGCCCAACAACAGTGCATAGAGAGCTTCATGGAATGGGTTTCCATGGCCGAGCAGCCGCATCCAAGCCTTCCATCACCAGGTGCAATGCAAAGCGTCGGATGCTGTGGTGTAAAGCACGCCGCCACTGGACTCTAGAGCAGTGGAGGTGTGTTCTCAGGAGTGACCAATCACGCTTCTCTGTCTGGCAATCCGATGGAAGTGTCTGGGTTTGGCGGTGGCCAGGAGAACGGTACTTGCCTGACTGCATTGTGCCAAGTGTAACGTTTGGTGGGGGGGGATTATGGCGTGGGGTTGTTTTTCAGGGGTTGGGCTTGGCCCCCTAGTCCCATTGAAGGGAACTCTTAAGGTGACATTTTGGACAATTTCATGCTCCCAACTTTGTGGGAAGAGTTTGGGGATGGCCCCTTCCTGTTCCAACATGACTGCCCACCAGTGCACAAAGCAAGGTCCATAAAGACATGGAGGAGCCAGTTTGGGGTGGAGGAACTTGACTGGCCTGCACAGAGTCCTGACCTCAACCCCATAGAACACCTTTGGGATGAATTAGAGCGGATACTGCGAGCCAGCCTCCTCCCCCGACATCAGTGCCTGACCTGACAAATGTGCTTCTGGAAGAATGGTCCAACCTTCCCATAGACACCCTCCTAAACCTTGTGGACGGCCTTCCCAGAAGAGTTGAAGCTGTTATAGCTGCAAAGGGCGGGGCCAACTCAATATTGACCCTACAGACCGAGACGAGGGGGGGACCATTAAAGGTCATGTGCGTGGAAAGGGCGGGGCCAACTCAATATTGACCCTACAGACCGAGACAGGGGGGGCCATTAAAGGTCATGTGCGTGGAAAGGGTGGGGCCAACTCAATATATTGACCCTACAGACCGAGACCATTAAAGGTCATGTGCGTGGAAAGGGTGGGCCAACTCAATATTGAACCCTGACTAAGACTGGGGGCCATTAAAGGTCATGTGCGTGGCAAGGGCGGGGTCAACTCAATATTGACCCTACAGACCGAGACTGGGGGGGCCATTAAAGGTCATGTGTGTGGGAAGGGCGGCCGACCAATACTTGGGGCAATGCAGTGTACATCTTTCTGCAGCTATTACAGTGACCAGGTTAATGTGAAGACTCATCTGACCGTCCATCCAACCACGCCTCAATCTGATACCGACAGCGAAGGAGAACAGGAATAATAGGAGGCCAACCTGAAGCTGACGTTGGAGTGGAGCGCCATGTCCCAGGATTCCTGGCTCTGACGGTACGGGTTTGCGGGGTTGTGGAGGACGATGAATAAGGAGTTGTCCTGGGTATGATAATAGGAGTCTATACATCTGTAGGACTCCGCCGCTTCCTGCAAGACCTGCAGAGAGGAAGGAACGGAGAATAAAGAAAATCAGAACAAGAATTACCGGATTACGCTTCACTGTAATATTATATGTTATTATGATTATTAGTAGTAATTGTAGTAGATCATTGCTAGGGGTATTATTAATATTATTTATACATAATTAATATAACAACATTAATGTAATCACTAGCAATATGATTTTTACTATTATTTATTATTATTATTGACTACTAAATTTTATTATTATTAATAATATTAATAGTAAAAAAAATTAATTATTTTAATATTATTGTTGTTATTATTAATATTAAATGTAAAAATAATAATTATTTTTATATTCTTAATAATAATAAAAATAATTATTTTTGCTATTAATGTTATTAATAATTATTATTATTATTATTATTATTATTATTATTATTAATAATAATAATAATAATAATAATAATAATAATAAATAATTAAATTTGTTTATCGCTATTATTATTATTATTATTATTAATAATAATAATAATAATAATAACATAATAATAATATAAAAATATTTATTTTTACTATTAATATTATTTGTATAATAATAAATAAAAATAATAATCATTTTTACTATTAATATTGTTATTAATAAATAAATAATAATAATAATAATATTAATATAAACAGTTATTTTTACTACTATTATTTTTTTATAATAAATAATAATTATTATTTTTACTATTAATATTATTTTGTATAATAATTAATATAAAAATAATAATCATTTTTACTATTAATATTGTTATATTATTATTATTAAATTATATTATATTATAATAATTATTATAAAAATATTAGTAATAGTAAAAATAATTATTTTTTTATTATTATTATTATTATTAATAATAATAATAATAATAATATAAAAATAATTATTTTTACTATTACTAATATTTTTATAATAAATAATAATTATTATTATTTTTTACTATTAATATTATTTGTATAATAATTAATATAAAAATAATCATTTTTACTTTTATTAGTTATTATTAATAATAATAATAATAATAATATAAAAATAATAATTTTTACTATTACTATTTTTTTTTATAATAAATAATATTTATTATTAATATTATTTTTACTATTAAATATTATTATTATATTTAATAATAATAAATAATTACTATCTTTACATTTGTTTATCACTATTATTGTTAATAACAATAATAATATTAATAGTAAATAATATAATAATAAAATAATAATAAGAATATAAAAATAATTATTTAATTTTTATATTAATATATATAATAATAAATAATAAATTTTATTATTATTATTATTTTTACTATTATTGTTATATTTAATAAAAATAAATCATTAATATATTTAAATTTGTTTATCTCTATTATTATTATTATTATTAACAATAATAATATTAATAGTAAATATAATTATTTTTAGATTATTATAATAAATAATATAAAAATAATTATTATTTTTACTATTATTATAATTATTATTAATAAGAATAAATTATTACTATATTTAAATTTGTTTATTGCTATTATTATTTTGATATTATTATTATTGATGTATAATCGAACACAATTTAAGATATTTTTTGTATTTCCCTTTATCCTTAATAACATCACTTCCCTCCAGCCATGATCTGTTTCACTGCATATAGAAACACTGAGGCCCAGTGATGACATCACTGGGTCTCAAATGAGTGATGTAATGAAAACAGAAAGGATGAATGTGAGCATTTCATTAGCAGTTGATGAGCGGGGGAGGGGGAACTAAGGAAGGCAGAACAAGCAGATGAGACTTCAGTCGGTATTATCGGCAGGAAGTGGAATGTATAACATGGGGGTCGATGTACCTGTATGAGAAGCATCGGGTGGAAGTTCTCTGAGTAGCACCAATCACTGAGACATCTCCTCCGAGTCCTCTGAATATCGGTGAGGTCGGTCTGCGGCGTCTCCCTTCCTCCACCATCCTGGGGGGTGACAAAGGACGTCATCATGAGGATACAGGACGGGACAGGATCCAACAGCACAATATGGGGGCCGGCAGACGATCGGTGAAATGCGGATCTTTCACATTTTTCTTTAATTTCTACTTTCTATTGTATCTTATTTTAAAACAAAAAAAATGATGACCACCATCTGCATGACGGAGAAAGTTGTGATATCCAACAGAAAATATACAGAAAAAAAAAATACAATCAGCAACAAAAAACCATGAAAAGAAGAAAACGTGTTCAGGAGAATTCATGACTCAGATAAGTCCCGTCTGGTACTCTCAGCCTCGTCCTATCTACAGTTGGAGTGAGGAGTTTGGACCGTGGAGTGAGGAGTGTGGACCGTAGGGGAGTGAGGAGTGTGGACCGTGGAGTGAGGAGTGTGGACCGTGGAGTGAGGAGTTTGGACCGTGGAGTGAGGAGTGTGGACCGTGGAGTGAGGAGTTTGGACCGTGGAGTGAGGGAGTGTGGACCGTGGAGTGAGGAGTATGGACCGTGGAGTGAGGAGTGTAGGAGTAGGGACCGTGGAGTGAGGAGTGAGGAGTAGGGACCGTGGAGTGAGGAGTGAGGAGTGTGGACCGTGGAGTGAGGAGTGTGGACTGTGGAGTGAGGAGTGTGGACCGTGGAGTGAGTGAGGAGTGAAGAGTAGGGACCGTGAGTGAGGACCATGGAGTGAGGCGTGAGGACCGTGGAGTGAGGCGTGTGGACCGTGGAGTGAGGCGTGTGGACCGTGGAGTGAGGCGTGAGGGACCGTGGAGTGAGGCGTGTGGACCGTGGAGTGAGGAGTGTGGACCGTGGAGTGAGGAGTGTGGACCGTGGGAGTGAGGAGTATGGACCGTGGGATGAGGAAGTGTGGACCGTGGAGTAAGGAGTGGACCGTGGAGTGAGGAGTGTGGACCGTGGAGTGAGGAGCGTAGGACCGTGGAGTGAGGAGCGTGGACCGCGGAGTGAGGAGCGTGGACCGCGGAGTGAGGAGCGTGGACCGCGGAGTGAGGAGCGTGGGACCGCGGAGTGAGGAGCGTGGACCGCGGAGTGTGGGAGGAGCGTGGACCGTGGAGTGAGGAGCGTGGACCGTGGAGTGAGGAGTGTGGACCGTGGAGTGAGGAGTGTGGACCGTGGAGTGAGGAGTGTGGACCGTGGAGGAGTGAGGTGGACCGTGGAGTGAGGAGTAGGGACCGTGGAGTGAGGAGTAGGGACCGTGGAGTGAGGAGTAGGGACCGTGGGAGTGAGGGTAGGGACCGTGGAGTGAGGAGTAGGGACCGTGGAGGTGAGGAGTAGGGACTCCGTGGGTTGGACAAGTGAGGAGAGGTAAAGTGTGGGACCGTGGAGTGTGGACCGTGGAGTGAGGAGTGTGGAACCGTGGAGTGAGGAGTGTGGACCGTGGAGTGTGGACCGTGGAGTGAGGAGTGTGGACCGTGGAGTGAGGAGTGTGGACCGTGGAGTGAGGAGTGTGGACCGTGGAGTGAGGAGTAGGGACCGTGGATGTGGGAGTGTGGTCACCGTGGATTGAGGAGTGTGGACCGTGGATTGAGGAGTGTGGACCGTGGAGTGAGGAGTGTGCAGAGTATTGTACATGATCACAGGTAATGCGCACTCCGTGTTCCAAACAAGCAGAAGTGAGAGGGAAAGGAGAGGTCTGGGGGCTCACAGAAGGTTTTACAAGGAGACAGAACAACACAGGAAGGGTTCATTCACATGCATTGCCGCCTTTGGCCCTCTACACAGAAATTTGGGCGGATCACTTTTCAGAGGCGACTTGTGTGCAGTGCAGCTGGTTGCAGCCCCGCCCCCCAAACCTTGAAGGGGTTATTTTTCAGTCATGCCAGCCGCATGGGACACACCGTTTCATTTTTGATGACAAATACAGCCGTGTGGGTGTGACATGTTCAGCCCAGTCTGCATGTCTGTGTATGGACATTGTTATACAGTGAAGGAAATGCGCATTTGCTCCCCGGCTGATGCTGAACATTCGCCCCTCACACAGAAATGATCGGTCTAACAATGGAATGTTCGCCCCTCACACAGAAATGATCGGTCTAACAATGGAATGTTCGCCCCTCACACAGAAATGATCGGTCTAACAATGGAATGTTCGCCCCTCACACAGAAATGATCGGTCTAACAATGGAATGTTCGCCCCTCACACAGAAATGATCGGTCTAACAATGGAATGTTCGCCCCTCACACAGAAACGATCGGTCTAACAATGGAATGTGTGCCCCTCACACAGAAACGATCGGTCTAACAATGGAATGTTCGCCCCTCACACAGAAATGATCGGTCTAACAATGGAATGTTCGCCCCTCACACAGAAACGATCGGTCTAACAATGGAATGTTCGGTGTAACACTGAGAGACAGAATACAACAACAAATTCAGCAGAAATGCGTCTAACAAATGATGACGGATCTGCATGTTCATGAGGGAAAGAAGGATTTGATGCCCTATCATTCAGCAGGATTTCTGGCTCCCAGGTGTCTCTCATACAGGTAACAAGCTGAGATTAGAAGCAGTCTCTTAAAGGGAGTGCTGCTAATCTCATTGTGTTACCTGTATAAAAGACACCTGTCCACAGGAGCCATCAAACCATCAGATTCCAAACTCTCCACCATGGCAAAGACCAAAGAGCTGTCCAAGGATGTCAGGGACAAGATGGTAGACCTACACAAGGCTGGACTGGGCTACCAAACTATGGCCAAGCAGCTTGGTGAGAAGGTGACAACAGTTGGTGCAATCATTCACAAATGGAAGAAACACAAAACAAGTGTCAGTCTCCCTAGGTCTGGTGCACCATGCAAGATCTCACCTCGTGGAGTGTCAATGATCATGAGAACAGTGAGGAATCATCCCAGAACTACACGTGAGGATCTTGTCAATGATCTCCAGGCAGCTGGGACCACAGTCACCAAGAAAACAATTGGTAACACACTACGCCGACAAGGACTGAAATCCTGCAGTGCCCGCACGGTCCCTCTGCTCAAGAAAGCCCATGTCCAGGCCCGTCTGAAGTCTGCCACTGAACATCTGAATGATGCAGAGGAGGACTGGTGGGAAGTGTTGTGGTCAGAGGAGACCAAAATCCAGCTCTTTGGCATCAACAACTCGCCGTGTTTGGAGGAGGAGGAATGCTGCCTATGACCCCAAGAACCCCATCCCAACTGTGAAACATGGTGGTGGAAACATTCTGCTTTGGGGGGGGGTTCTGCTAAGGGGACAGGACAACTGCACCGCATCAAAGGGACAATGGACGGGGCAATGTACCATCAAATCTTGGGTGAGAACCTTCTTCCCTCAGCCAGGGCATTGAAAATGGGTGGTGGATGGTGTGTTCCAGCATGACAATGACCCAAAACACACGGCCAAGGCAACAAAGGAGCGGCTCAAGAAGAAGCACATTAAGGTCCTGGAGTGGCCTAGCCAGTCTCCAGACCTTCATCCGATTGAAAATCTGTGGAGGAGCTGAAAGTTCGAGTTGCCAAATGTCAGCCACCAAACCTTAATGACTTGGAGAGGATCTGCCAAGAGGAGTGGGCCAAAATCCCTTCTGAGATGTGTGCGAACCTGGGGGCCAACTCCAGGAAACGTCTGACCTCTGTGATTGCCAACAAGGGATTGGCCACCAAGTACCAAGTCATGTTTTGTGAAGGGGATCAAATCCTTCTTTCCCTCATGAACATGCAAATCAGTGGATCATTTGTTAGACGCATTTCTGCTGAATTTGTTGTTGTATTCTGTCTCTCAGTGTTACACCGAACATTCCATTGTTAGACCGATCATTTCTGTGTGAGGGGCGAACATTCCATTGTTAGACCGATCATTTCTGTGTGAGGGGCGAACATTCCATTGTTAGACCGATCATTTCTATGTGAGGGGCGAACATTCCATTGTTTAGACCGATCATTTCTGTGTGAGGGGCGAACATTCCATTGTTAGACCGATCATTTCTGTGTGAGGGGCGAACATTCATGTGTTAGACCGATCATTTCTGTGTGAGGGGCGAACATTCCATTGTTAGACCGATCATTTCTGTGTGAGGGGCGAACATTCCATTGTTAGACCGATCATTTCTGTGTGAGGGGCGAACATTCCATTGTTAGACCGATCATTTCTGTGTGAGGGGCGAACATTCAGCATCAGGGAGCAAATACACATTTCCTTCACTGAAGGTCTCCTTCACATGAACAGTTGAGGAGCGGTAAAACACCAGAGTTGAGCCTCATTTTTACCTCCCCTCAATTGCTCCCCCTTTAGCTGCAAAGGCAGTTTCCTGGGGAGGGGGGGGTGGTACATGTGCAGCAGCTGCAAAGCACAGCAGGGATTATACCTCCTGTTGCATTTGGTAGATGTAGCACCTGCTGAGTGTGCCCCCAGCAACGAGGCTGCGACACGCTAGTGCAGGGGTCCCGGGGTTAAAGCAAGCGCACGACAACGCACCCCCAGCACATGACAAATGTTCTCTGAAGGGCGATCCAAATGCAGATCCTGTCAGGGGCTCTAACACCCGCTCCCATTCCATTCTCACCTGAACCAATCGGATGAGGCCAGGTGTATGGAGGTGAAAGATCTGCATCAATTCTTCCATCTGAAGTCTAATAGAAGAACACGTCGGGGGGGGGGGGGGGGGATTTTTGGATCAGACGGCAGTGATTGGTCCCCGGGGGGGGATGGGGAAATCGAGCCGGCATGTTGGCTGCAGCGGCCGCCCATCTGAACCAGTCCAGGTGAAGTGAGAGACAATCGATGGAAGCAGTTCCTGGACTCGGCGATGAGACACCCGGCCAAGAACACGTCGGAATAATGAGTGCGGCGCGCGGGAAGCGTCTCCTGACCTGATGGATGTTCTCATGTGGTGACTCCATGGCTCAGGCATGTGCGCCTTCCATGTCCGCCGTCACTTGGAATTACCAATAGCGAGCCGAGCGGAATGTACTAGAACCTCCGCTGAGGACACGCCGAACCCCCCGCCAAAGATTGTG